TTCGTGCTAGTTAGTTTGTGTGTTCGTTTGCTTGCTTGCTTGCTTGCCTGCTTGCTTGCCTGTCTGCCTGCCTGCCTGCCTGCTTGCTTGCTTGCCTGCTTGCTTGCCTGCCTGCCTGCCTGCCTGCCTGCCTGCTTGCTTGCTTGCTTGCTTGCTTGGTTTGTTGTGGTTTAGTGTGTGTTTTTTTCCTGTTTGTTTGTGGGTTGGTTGGTTGGGTGGCTGGCTGGCTGGCTGGCTGGCTGGCAGGTTTCTTTGTTGTTTGGTTGGTCGGTTAAATGGTTGGTGTTCGAAAGGGAACCCCAACGGTTCCCGTTTTGAACCGTCACCAGATGGAAGCTTCTCCGAGTGATCTCCGGTTTGACCAGGAAACAACCCATTTTGTGGGTTCCCTTTTCTGTGAAAGTCCCCGGACGTTTGTCCTGAATAGCAGGCCCGTTTGGGATGGGTGTCACGGGATTGGGATCGCCCACAAAGCCCAAAGTTCCAAACGCCCGTTCCATGTTTGGTCCGAAAGGATTTCTGTTGGCGAGGACATCCCGAGCCTCTTGCGGCTTCAGAGCACGTTTGCGAAAGCGTATGATTTGATGGACCGCGCCTTAGCAGCATCCGCGGGACGCTGGTGAGAGCGGGGAAATGCAAGGATGTTTTCAATTGTTACTGGGTTCGAAGCAAACATGTTCAAAGGATTTGAGGACTTCGCAAGTACCCCCTTGTGATCAGCTGCTGGCATGGTGTTCGCTGGACTCCATTCCTTTGACGCAACCCATCACACACTTGACAAGGATGTTGATGTCCCACCAAATAGCATTGGAGCCTCACGTCTAGAATTTAGACCCAAAACATTTGTCGTTGATTGTTTGTGGTACTCTGCTCATGTTTTGCGCGTGATCTTTTTATATCAGTATTTGGGAAAGGCGGACGCTGCTCTTGTTCTCGGAAGTTCAGGGGCCAGTTTGTGCCATTCTGACCTCGCTCGCACATTCTGTTTGCTTCTTTTTTCTGAGCCCGCCCAAAGGCTCGGGCCACATTTTCCCCGAACAGAGATCCTCGCCGGCTTGTAGGTGTTTCTAGTATGTTGTAGTGATATGTTGTAGCATGGGGGCAACTAATTCTCAATTCTCTCCCATTCAGGGGTGGCGGTGGTCCTGGCTTTCCGAATCCGCAACGCACCTTAAGCTGACGTTTTGCCGTCCACTTCAGGTCCCAGCAAAGCGGTGAAGGTGTTGCCCCTCACTTGCCTCAAAACAACGGACGAGCACGGCACATGCGGGCCAGGCTGCGATGCCGGCTGCCCCAATCTCCACGCCAACACCACGCCCTGTGCCCTGCGGGGCTGGTGCGAAGCTGAAGTGCAGTGGTCGGTCATGCGTACCAAGAACTACCGGCAGATCTTCACATCGAGCTCGACGAAGCACGGATTCGGCAATCTCGATGAATTTACCAAGGCGCCTGTGTGCCCCGAGGAATTTCGGGCCAAGTGCAAGGGGAGCTTGAAGTTCACCCATCGCGGGAAAGATGAAGAGCAAGTGCTGCAATTGCAAGAGCACGTTTTTGGGTTGAAGGCTCGGAACAACACCAATTTGAAGTTCAAGCGACTGCCTTTGGAAGAAGTGAGGGTGTTGGCGCGGGCGTTGCCCTGCTACACTCGGCTTTCGCATGTTGCCTTGCATCAGAGCGTGCTCTCAGCGGAAGCAACGCAGAGTTTCTCAGTTGTCCCTTTTGCCGTTGTTTTCTCCGCATTTTTTGTTTTCTCCGCATTTTTTGGTATGGCGCCTTTTTCAGCGGCAACCTGAAAGCTGAAGCTGTTACATCCCATCGTTGTGTTTTGCTTGAGGTTTGCTGAAGCCCTTGCCCTCCAGCCTCCTGAAACTGACCCTGGCAAGCGGGATGGATTGCGCAGCTCGGCTTCTGGCAGACGCTGTGACCAACCTGAAGTTGAAAGTGCTGAACCTGGAGAACAACAAGATAGGGGAGGAGGGAGCCATGGCCATTGCCTGGTCCTCCAGCTCTTTGGAGATCGTGGACTTGTGAGGCAATCCGCCGTGGACGGCTCCTGTCGATCTGTTTGTGCGGGCCTGGGAGAAGAATGCCTGCGGGTGCTGCGCTTGCCGCCGGCTGGCCGAACCTTCAGAAGCTCATTGAGACTTCCAGCGACCAGACGTGCCATGGCTAAATTAGCCACTTGGTCACGCTCTTTTCATTTTGGGACCGGGTGATGTGCAGGAACGTTCTGGGGGCTCGGGGACGTCTATCGGTCAAGTCGAGGCACCTGGTACGGATCGGCGAAGGCGAGGACCGCGACATCGCGATGCCTGACTACTCCCATCTGGCGGTCTTCTTCCGACGAGCCGGGAGATTCCGCGCGTGGAACCGAACCCGCTGGGATAGTCGAGGGAGTCTTCGGATGAGGAGCCGGATGACATGCAGCCGATCGCCTGACTAAGTTAGCTTTGGCTCCATCCCAATTTTCCACAAGTGTTTATCGTCTCATAGTTTGAACGCTTCGGGTCAGAGGTGAACTTGAGACAAGCTCCTGACCTGCTTTTTCACAATTCTGCCAGCCAATGCTGGGTTTACCTTTTCACATGGCCAACCCACAGGAACACCGCGTCTCCCCAGGCGTCGCTCGGCGTCGCTCGCCAAGGTTTGCCGACACGAGCGCCGAGCGCCGATCGCCTGAGAGGCGGCTCAAGTTGCCACATGTTAGGCGACCGAAACAGCACGCCAACCCATCGATATGTTGAGCCGGCGTAGTTCAGGGAAAGCTGGTAGGCCCATGAAGACAAAAGTACACAGTGAGCAACACATCCATTCACTCAAGCTCGGCCATTGGAGAGTTTTCATACTGAAGCGAAGTGCTGCGCACTCGGGGTTGAAACGATACCGCATGAACCTCCTTTGGGGAGCCTTCTGTTCTCTTAGTCCGTGACTTGCCAGAAGTACACTTAATGAGAGAAGTATCAACAGAAGCGCAACCGCGACAGAAGGTCAAAACGGCTGCTTTTCTTTTCATTTCCCTTTAAAACCAATCAAAGAAGGGCACCCTCAAACACAGGACACGCCCATATGCCCTTGTTATTTGTCTCGCCGAGTGACCCGCATTCGATTGCCATGCCGTTGGCTTGCGGCGCGGGCTTGCGGCGCTCACGGCGCTCGCGGCATGCGGGCAGTGCCCTCAGTCGGCCAGCGGAATCGGCTTGCGGCGCGGCAAGGGCAGGAAGGGAAACCTGGCCTGTTGGACTCATGTGGGTATGTCAAAATTAAACCACCGGGGGACCGCAGGTTTTGGTCCTTGTTTCCACTTACTAGGGTTCCATTTGGGGTACCTATTTTTGACCCACAGCCATGTTCAAGTCAGGTTCCGGTGGGAGGAGCGAGGTTGTAAGAGGAAGCCTGCGAATGTGTGAAAAGTAGAGAGTTGCCTCAGATGCAAAAGTTGCAGCAGTGCCATGCTCGAGTCTGAGGGACATTGCACGCATTCCACGCAAGAAATCGCCTTCAAAGAGCGATTTGCCTCCGGCGCGCTCCCATCAAAGCGTGGAGTCTTAAATCCAAGGTGCATCACAGCCCGTACCAGTTCGATCCAACTTTGACATGTGAATTAGTATGGGTGCCACGGAACAGGCACACGACAGCTGAATAAAACCGCAAATCCACCTAAACACACCAATCTTTCATCTGACAGAACGTGGCACAAGGCAGGCTGAGGCGGACATTGTCGGGTCGTGAGCCAAACCCTCCTCCTTGATTGAGGCCAAATTATGGCTGCTCACCAGCCTCTCCAAGGCAGACGAGTACGTGACCCTTGCCAGCGGCTTTCAAACAGACCCAACAAACCCGGCAAAGGGAAATGGCTGTGGCTCGATGTACCCAAATGGCACCTTGGTAAATGGAACCAAAGACGAAAACCTGCGTAAGCCTAGCTCTTTAATTTTGATCCACACCCAAATGGTGCCAAGTATCAAGGCAGTTAGGACCCTTTGGTGGACATCATTTAGGCAGGGATTCATGCCCATCAATGAGTCCAACCACTTTTGAGGTGGTTTCGTATTGAAAGTCAAAAGCCACAAGCTATGTTGACCACACCTTCCCGAGCAAACATGGAAGTGCCTCCTCCTTGTCTAAACAACCCAACCAAAAGGCCCAAACAAAACAGCATCTCCAAGAAAGACGGGCACATTTCTTGGTAGTTTCCATTTAACCCACAAGTTCAAGGTGTAGTAGATTCGATTGTGGCCAACCAAAAGGCCCAAAACAGCATCTCCAAGAAAGATGGGCACGTTTCTTGGTGGTTTCCATTTAACCCACAAGTTAAAGGTGTAGTAAATTCGATTGTGGCCAACAAAAGGCCCAAACAAAACAGCATCTCCAAGAAAGACGGGCACGTTTCTTGGCAGTTTCCTTTTAACCCACGAGTCAAAGGTGTAGTAGATTCGATTGTGACCAACCAAAAGGCCAAAAACAGCATGTCCAAGAAAGACGGGCACGTTTCTTGGTAGGTTCCATTTAACCCACAAGTTAAAGGTGTAGTAGAATCGATTGTGACCAACCAAAAGGCCAAAACAGCATCTCCAAGAAAGACGGGCACGTTTCTTGGTAGTTTCCTTTTAACCCACAAGTCAAAGGTGTAGTAGATTCGATTGTGACCAACCAAAAGGCCAAAACCGCATGTCCAAGAAAGACGGGCACGTTTCTTGGCAGTTTCCTTTTAACCCGCAAGTTAAAGGTGCAGTAGATTCGATTGTGACCAACCAAAAGGCCAAAACAGCATCTCCACCACAAGTTCAAGGAGTAGTATATTCGATTGTGACCAACCAAAAGGGCCGAAAACAGCATCTCCAAGAAAGATGGGCACGTTTCTTGGTAGTTTCCTTTTAACCCAGAAGTCAAACTTGTAGTAGATTCGATTGTGACCAACCAAAAGGCCCAAACAAAACAGCATCTCCATGAAAGACGGGCACGTTTCTTGGCAGTTTCCTTTTAACCCACAAGTTAAAGTTGTAGTAGATTCGATTGTGGCCAACCAAAAGGCCCAAAACAGCATCTCCAAGAAAGACGGGCACGATTCTTGGCAGTTTCCATTTAACCCACAAGTTAAAGGTGTAGTAGATTCGATTGTGACAATCAAAAGGCCCAAACAAAAAAGCATCTCCAAGAAAGACGGGCACGTTTCTTGGTAGTTTCCATTTAACCCACAAGTTAAAGGTGTAGCAGATTCGATTGTGACCAACCAAAAGGCCAAAAACAGCATCTCCAAGAAAGACGGGCAAGTTTCTTGCTGGGTTTACATTTAACCCACAAGTCAAAGGTGTAGTAAATTCGATTGTGCATCTCCAAGGAAAGACGGGCACGTTTCTTGGCAGTTTCCATTTAACCCACAAGTTAAAGGTGTAGTAGATTCGATTGTGACCAACCAAAAGGCCAAAAACAGCATCTCCAAGAAAGACGGGCAAGTTTCTTGCTGGGTTTACATTTAACCCACAAGTCAAAGGTGTAGTAGATTCGATTGTGGCCAACCAAAAGGCCAGAAACAGCATCTCCAAGAAAGACGGGCACGTTTCTTGGTAGTTTCCTTTTAACCCACAAGTCAAACTTGTAGTAGATTCGATTGTGACCAACCAAAAGGCCAGAAACAGCATCTCCAAGAAAGACGGGCACATTTCTTGGTAGTTTCCTTTTAACCCACAAGTTAAAGGTGTAGTAGATTCGAGTGTGGGCCAACCAAAAGGCCAGAAACAGCATCTCCAAGAAAGATGGGCACGTTTCTTGGTGGTTTCCATTTAACCCACAAGTTAAAGGTGTAGTAGATTCGATTGTGGCCAACAAAAGGCCCAAACAAAACAGCATCTCCAAGAAAGATGGTCACGTTTCTTGGCAGTTTCCATTTGACCCACGAGTCAAAGGTGTAGTAGATTCGATTGTGACCAACCAAAAGGCCAGAAACAGCATCTCCAAGAAAGACGGGCACGTCTCTTGGTAGTTTCCTATGAACCCACACGTTAAAGGTGTAGTAGATTCGATTGTGGGCCAACCAAAAGGCCAGAAACAGCATCTCCAAGAAAGACGGGCACGTTTCTTGGTAGATTCCTTTTAACCCACAAGTTAAAGGTGTAGTAGATTCGATTGGGCCAACCAAAAGGCCCAAAACAGCATCTCCAAGAAAGACGTGCACGTTTCTTGGCAGTTTCCTTTTAACCCACAAGTCAAAGGTGTAGTAGATTTGATTGTGGCCAACCAAAAGGCCCAAAACAGCATCTCCAAGAAAGACGGGCACGTTTCTTGGCAGTTTCCTTTTAACCCACAAGTTAAAGGTGTAGTAGATTCGATTGTGGCCAACCAAAAGGCCCAAAGCAGCATCTCCAAGAAAGATGGGCACGTTTCTTGGCAGTTTCCTTTTAACCCACAAGTTAAAGGTGTAGTAGATTCGATTGTGGCCAACCAAAAGGCCCAACACAGCATCTCCAAGAAAGACGGGCACGTTTCTTGGCAGTTTCCTTTTAACACACAAGTTAAAGGTGTAGTAGATTCGATTGTGGCCAACCAAAAGGCCCAAAACAGCATTTCCAAGAAAGACGGGCACGTTTCTTGGCAGTTTCCTTTTAACCCACAAGTTAAAGGTGTAGTAGATTCGATTGTGGCCAACCAAAAGGCCCAAAACAGCATCTCCAAGAAAGACGGGCACGTTTCTTGGCAGTTTCCTTTTAACCCACAAGTTAAAGGTGTAGTAGATTCGATTGTGGCCAACCAAAAGGCCCAAAGCAGCATCTCCAAGAAAGATGGGCACGTTTCTTGGCAGTTTCCTTTTAACCCACAAGTTAAAGGTGTAGTAGATTCGATTGTGGCCAACCAAAAGGCCCAACACAGCATCTCCAAGAAAGACGGGCACGTTTCTTGGCAGTTTCCTTTTAACACACAAGTTAAAGGTGTAGTAGATTCGATTGTGGCCAACCAAAAGGCCCAAAACAGCATTTCCAAGAAAGACGGGCACGTTTCTTGGCAGTTTCCTTTTAACCCACAAGTTAAAGGTGTAGTAGATTCGATTGTGGCCAACCAAAAGGCCCAAAACAGCATCTCCAAGAAAGACGGGCACGTTTCTTGGCAGTTTCCTTTTAACACACAAGTTAAAGGTGTAGTAGACTCGATTGTGGCCAACCAAAAGGCCCAAAACAGCATCTCCAAGAAAGACGTGCACGTTTCTTGGCAGTTTCCTTTTAACCCACAAGTTAAAGTTGTAGTAGATTCGATTGTGGGCCAACCAAAAGGCCCAAACAACACAGCATCTCCAAGAAAGACGTGCACGTTTCTTGGCAGTTTCCTTTTAACCCACAAGTTAAAGTTGTAGTAGATTCGATTGTGGGCCAACCAAAAGGCCCAAACAACACAGCATCTCCAAGAAAGACGTGCACGTTTCTTGGCAGTTTCCTTTTAACCCACAAGTTAAAGTTGTAGTAGATTCGATTGGGGCCAACCAAAAGGCCGAAACAACACAGCACCTCCAAGAAAGACGTGCACGTTTCTTGGCAGTTTTTTTTAACCCACAAGTTAAAGTTGTAGTAGATTCGATTGTGGGCCAACCAAAAGGCCCAAACAACACAGCATCTCCAAGAAAGACGTGCACGTTTCTTGGCAGTTTCCTTTTAACCCACAAGTTAAAGTTGTAGTAGATTCGCTTGTGGGCCAACCAAAAGGCCCAAACAACACAGCATCTCCAAGAAAGACGTGCACGTGTCTTGGCAGTTTCCTTTTAACCCACAAGTTAAAGTTGTAGTAGATTCGATTGTGGGCCAACCAAAAGGCCCAAAACAGCATCCCCCAAAAAGAATTGAACCCAGGTCGTGTTGTTTCCAGCGAGGAAGGTGCTCAACGGCCGGTGCCTGGAGTTCGAGGAGGTCACGCCCCTGGGCGCCAGAGGCGCCGACTGGAGCGGCCGGGACCTCGGCCTCGAGTGGAGCGTTTGGAGCCATGGGGTTTGAACCGCTGCGGGGTGAGGTAGGTCTGTGTAGGTCTCAGTTGCGAAAAACCTTTTTGACCTTTTGGATTTCCCAGATTTGGTCCACTTTTAGTAAGGGTTCCAACAGCTTAATGTTGGATTTCAATTTCAGGGTCCTTGGGCAAGTGTGAGATGATGTTTGCGCCCTACGTCCCACGTTGCCATGGCACCTGACACCCTCCAAGAGGAAGCTGATCTTCCAGATACCCCCCTCACACCTCCTTTTTAGATATGGGTGGCTCGTCTCTTTTTTGGAACCGGACCCCCTAAAGTTGCGCAACCATGTTCCTTGTGGTTTCCCTTTTATATTTCACAAGGAGGACCCTCCAAAAAGGCAGACACATATATGTAGAGGCATCTAGAAGTAGATCTAAGTAGATGCTCGCCTGTGTTCAAAACAGAAACTCAGAACCAAGCGGCGTAGCCTTTTCTGGGGAGCAGTTTTTCAGTGAGCCAGCAAACATGCAACACGAGGATCGATCCGTAGCTCTGGTCTTTGCCACAACGAGCTTTTCTCGGGTCCAGGAGTTGACTGTCCGCAGGGGAGCGACACCGAAACATGCTGCTTCGAGACAGTCGAATCCTGCTATGCCTGCCTGGAGAGCAAGAGATATAGCTTGTGGCGCACATGAGAAAGAGGATGCCTGCTTTTGAAGATCGAACGTTAGGTCTTGCTGGCAAAAGCACGAGCCACGTTTTATGAGGCTTATGGACATGTGTCTTCGAACAAGCTAAGCATCGGCCTTCCGGCTGAGATGCGATGGCTCCAACGGTCCAAAGTTTCACACCGCTCCATGGAGGTTGACATGTCAGCAACCACGCGGAGGGTTCGGTTCCTAGTTTTCACGCATACCCGTTTGAGGTCGCCGGTCAGATTCGATTGCCAACTCCACCACGCTTCGTGGGATGTTGGCATGTTGCTCTCCAGGAGCCATACAACGCCTGTCCAGAAAGTTTCAAATGATCCAGCAGGAAACTGAAAGTTCCGTTTACTGGTGGCCACATGTCCCTTGGTCAAAGCATCAGTTTTCTTCAGTGCTCTTCAGGCTTGTAGGGATGCCCTTGGTCGTGCACCCCTTGGGTAATTTACGCAGCCATGGAGATTCCCGCTAAGGGAACCACCATAGGAAATTCAACCACGGGGCCCATGAGCGGATCAAAGAACTGGGTTGGGGGTAGCACGAGCTCGCCTTTGAAGTTCCCTTGCCGAGGCCTCTTGCTGGTTGGGCGTTTGCGACCAGGAACCATTCAGAACTGGCTCTGTCACATCCCAGAATCTTTGAAATGAATTGCTCTACCTCACTCCCTGAATTCGACTTTAAACTTTTTGGAAAGACCCTTCTAGTGACTCATCTTGAAGCGATGGCTTCCCCTAGGCGATCTGGATGCCCGCGCCCGAGCCTGGTGCAGTCGCCGCAGCTGGTGCGTGGGCTACATGCGCCGCGCAGCTGGAAGTCAGCATGCAGGCGATGTCCACGGGACGTTAAAAGTTGAGTTTCTTCCATTCGCTTAAGAATATTTTGTTTTATTTGCCCTTGTTGCTTTTAAAAGGAAGTTATTTATCACTACCGGACATATTTCATGTTTTCCAGGGGTCTTAGCCAAATGGAAGATGTGGCTTTCTGAGTTTGCCCTTTGACACCAAGGGCTCCTCTCAAAGGGGCGATCAGGGACTTAGTAGGTGGATGTAGGTGGTTAGTAAGCCGCTTCCATAACACGCGGGTTAGAACCAGGCTTACTAACCACGTACTAAGTACCCTGCCCCTTTAAGCCTTTTTTCAGGGACAATGCGGTGTTTATGGTCCGATGCCCAGGATGATCAGGGTTGCAGAAACCTGCTGGTGCAAGGGGGCCAACTTGTTTCATGCTTGGGCCTCTTCGCCCGACCCGAGAAGGTGCCAAGGTGATGATGCAGGGAAAAACGCCTTAGTGGCTGGTTTCAGTTTGGCTTTTTGGGGCTTCAATTTTCATTGTTTCAGGGTTCCTGAAGCCTGATTCTTTGCAACTCCGCAGATGCAGCCAGAGAGGCATGTGGCCAGTGACAGCTGGCAAGGCAGCAAGGGCCAACGAGGCATAGTGGCGTTTTTTTCTTCTGCCCATGAGGCTAGGGGCTTGGAACTTGGTACGAGGGCACCATGTCCACCCAGAGGACAAGCTTCCCACTAAGTCTAAGCATTCGCCCTTGGTGCCAAGTGAAGGCCACTTGAATACCTCACGCGGGAAGCGGATCAACATGTTGGGCTTTTGCTGGGCTCATTTAAATGGTCCCTGAAATGGAGTGAACGCCTCATGAACGACTTTTCATGGTTGTGTTATTGTCAAGACTTGGCTCCTTGACAACTTCCACCATGGCGACTTGCCATTGCGAGTGCAATCAATGTTCAGGAGCCAAGCTGCCAGACGCACGCAGAGATCATTGGGTTTCGCCCGCAGGTTTCTCCCTTTTTTCCCGGGTGCGCAGTGCGCAGGGACGTGCCGAAATTACGAAATCACTGAGATGGGGCTTTGAGCGAGAAGCGGGATTTCCTTAGGCTACATGGCCGACGAGGAAGAGAGCTGTCATGAGTGGTGCGGGCGGCCGCAGTTCTGCAAGGATGTCAGCTACTCGTCTGGCAGGTGTTGCGATCCAAACTTGCACGGCCCAACCTCTTGGGATTTCCACCGAAGTCTTTGCAAATGGATTCAGCCTGGTCAACCCTCCGGATGCAGCTCCGAGAAGCGATCCAAATCGCCGCTGTCGCCAACTGGGTGCCCTTTGCCCTTTGCCAGGCGCGGGCCAAACCTTTAGCCGGCCGCGCAGAGGAACTGATACGGGTGGGTCTTTTTTGAAGAGACCCCCCCAAAAAAAAAGGCGGCTTTAAACGGAAACCAAGCCAAAGGGATAATATATATATATATTAATTGATCGGCCATTCGGACCAACGCACAAATTTCTTACGTATATAACAAGAGAACTCTGACGAACATGCGCCGTGGCAACTGAATTGGATCACTGCAATCCTTCCCCAGCATTAGCACCCCTGTTTGTTTTTTGGTTTTTTTTGGGGGGGGCACTAACCAGGCAAAAATATCTCATTTTTTGCCGGGGTCTGATTTCTGAGGCATGGCGCCCAGCGAGGAGTGGGTCTCCTATGTTCGGAAGTCGCCTTTGAAGCGCTTCCAGGAGGAGCAGCTCCAATTGGAGGAGGCGGAGGCGTGAGCCATGTGGGTGTCAAGGCTACTCCAAAGAAGGGTGGTTTTGGATTCCCTTTCAAAGCCAACCTAAAAACATGGTACCCTCAAGAAGACACACACACACACACCAAGGTGCCCTGTGCTGTGTAGTATGTTGTGGGATGATTTGCGGGAATGTGATGTGTCGTGTAGTGTGTGGCCTGCTGCGCGTGAAGGTCACGTAGTGTTGAGCTTTGGCAAGCTATGTTAGACGTAGTATTTTGTGTGGCTTGTCATCGTCGTGTTGTCGTGCAGTATGCGGTTGGTGTGTCAGGTCACGATTTTTCAACGTCGAGGTGTGTCATGTTCTGTGGTCATGCCCTGGGGTCAGGCGCTGTGTTGCCACGCTGTGCTCCTTCGTTGCGGATGCCTTGTGTAATGGTTTGCAGCTCGCTTCCTCGCCTGCCCTTCACCGGTGCCTGATGCGCTTGGCTGGATGCCGGCGCCAGGAGCTTCCGCCGTGGGCGAGGCCGACAGAATTCAGCTGCCCATACCCCTACGAGGGCGTGGTGAGCCTTTGGAACGAGGAGTGGCTTATGTTGTGAGATGCCTGAGCGTCCGTGAGGTGACTGTGTTTCTTTGCAAGAAGTCCCAATCAACCCCGGCTCAATACCGTTCTCTCCTTGCACCAACTGGGAACCCAGTCATGTGTATGCCATTTGGTTGATTGTGAACGGCAAACACTCTGTGAAGGCTCCTATTTTCGGAGCCAGGGTGCCATGAATCACACACACACACGGATATTGGCCATGGCACGACTGAGTGGCAAAACTGCACCAGCGAATTACTGGGGCTGGGGATGAAATGTTTTTCTCATCAAGTCTTTCAGAAAGGAGTTGGCCCAAAGGTGGGGCGGCGCACATGGCATGGGCGTCAGCCCATGCATTAAGTTTGTTCCTCGGGTCATCCCCACCAAAGCCTGAGCCCGAGCCTAACCCCGAGCTGCCTACCCACCACGCCACGGGGAGCAGGAAGGAGAAATAAATCAAGCAGCCAAAGTCTTGCGACCGAGCCAATCAAGTTGGGCCAACAATGTGATGTAGAGCAGACTGCCATGAATGTGTTTCTTTGTCAGGGAAGCCATGGTCACAGACTTGCTCGCGCATGATTGTTGATGCGGTTTCCACACTTCGACTATTGGCCAGAAAGAAGAACTGTTTGGCCGCCAATGGAGAAATAATTGTGGAATCAAGTCCCGGATCAAACTTTGCATCAGCGACACGTGTTTGACATCAATCAGAACCAGGCCGGAAACGCCTATTGCTTTTACAACTGTTCAGCGCCAGCCATTTGTGTGTGTGTGTGTCTTTTTTTGGGGGTACCCCTTTTTGGTGGTTTTTAAGGGAAATTACAACAAGGAAAACCGAACTCCATTTGGGGGGTGCAAGTCCCTAAAACGAGACGTACACCCCCCTGGTCCAGGAGCCGCCCAAAGAGGCGGAGCCGGTGCTGCGGGAGACCTTCCAGGAGGCTTTGGTGGCGATTTGTGGGTGTCTTTGAGGGTACTGTTTTGGGGGTGGTTTTAAGGGAAACCAAAGGGAAAAATCACCCATCTTGGGGGTTCCAACTCAGAACAGGCAGAGCCATCTTTCAGCTCCGCTGGATCTTGTCTGGGCCTCACAAACCTCTGGTCCCGATGAACTGTTTCTTTGAGGCCTGCACCTTAAATATGCACCGGCCAATGTTCCTAAAATCATCGGCTCTAAGGATTGGGCTCGACAAGTCCGACCTATAATTACATTGTGCTTCTCTTGACGTTGACTCTTTAACCTGATATTCATGGTTTAGTATGGCTGGATCATGATGTAGAGATATGCTTTCAACCCACTTAGAAGTGGATGTTGCATTATTGTCTCCCTCCACGTGGTGACGTTAGATATTGCTACACTTGCTGAGATGCAGGTGGACAGTCATGTTTATGTAGTATCCAAGGAGCATGTTTAGAGATTGTTGGAAACTGAGATTGGCTTATTGTTGAGCTTGGCAGACCTTCTTTCTGGGCCTGAAATATTGCCAAGCCTTATTGGGGCACTCTGTTCAGACACAACTTGAACCCACGTTCTTTCGAACCTAGGCTACAATTCTGAGTTCCATTGACACTTACTGTCTTATTGATGTTCATTGCTGCACCAGCGAAACATGCCGAACACAATGTTTTTGCCATTGACATGGGCACTGCCGCCGTGAAGCATCCCCTTTTCTGATGACTGGTTCAGGGTTTTGGCAGGTCAAGGGGGAATGGTAGACCCCAGCGCCCGAGTCGCGTTTTCGTGAAAGTCATGGTGCTGATCGGTGGCCTGGTCATGTCGACCTTGCTTTGCATGGCTTGGGAAGAAGGCCCCAGGGAAAAGACATAGAGACCCAAACCTACGCTTGAGTCCTTTGGCTATCCGCGGGGTCCCAAGCTCCATTCACATCCATGACACAAAGGGGAAGCTGGCGCAATTCCCATGTGGGCAAGGGGACAGCTAAAAGAAAAAATGCTCGAATTGCAGACGCCCATGCGGGCAACGGCAGAACATCATGGAATTGTATTTCTGCTTTCAGGCAGCTGTGTAGATGTTGCTCCGGGCAACCGTTTGCTTTGTCCGTCCGATCAGACCTGCCGCGTGCTGCGAGCTGACGGCGTTCCAAGCCAGGCGGTCGGGCGTCGGGGCGTTGTTGACGGTTTTTGGCTCTTGTGTGTGTGTGTGTGTGTCTGTGTCTGTGTCTGTGTCTGTGTCTGTGACTGTGACTGTGACTGTGTCTGTGTCTGTGTCTGTGTCTGTGTCTGTGTCTGTGTCTGTGTTTGTGTCTGTGTCTGTGTCTGTGTCTGTGTGTGTGTGTTTGGTTTCTTGTTGTCGTTGTTCAACTTATTTTGTTCGGAACAAAATGACCTTTCTTCCCCCATGTCCATTGTTCTGCCGTTCTTGATGCGCTGATCTCGGGGGGGCAGTAGCTCAATTGACCTCAAGTCTCCGCAGCGTACTGCAATGCAACCAATCAACGTGACATCCGGGTTTGGTCGGGCAGCCACTCAATTGGTAGATTGCTTGTCCGCTAGTTGTGGATTGTGGACAGCTGCATATGTGTATATATTTGTATAAAGAGGTTGTTTTTTGGCCATGCAGTCCTCTCTTGTGATGGCTGATCCCCCAGAATGCAGCTTTCCAAGCACGTCCTGCATTTCACAATTGCCTGGGTCACTTGGGGGACCGCCCCACATTTCTGGCCATGCTTCGATTTTCGAGGCTCTGCTCGTGTCCCTTCGGCTGGCTCAGGGCCAAGCGGATGAGCCGAGCCAAGAGTCGCCCCCTGCCGCAGCTCAGGCGGCAGCGGAGGATGGGCCCTTTTTCCATGGCGCCCCCTGGCGCAATGATTTGAACATTTGTGCCGCGGTCAAAGGAGCTGCGGGCGTTTGAGGGATCGCGGATCGGGATTCAGGGCCCATGACTGCCGCAAGAGGCTTTGACCTCAGCAGGTTTGGGAAGGATAGCTTTGACCTCAGCAGGTTTGGGAAGGGTAGGCCCCTCCTGCTCAGACAGCGGTGGTCGCTGCGTGTGAGACAACAGTTTGGCTGGTCTGTCTTGCGCGCTAGGTTTTGCAACACCCGCAAGCGTGCCGCGGGCAGGTTGCATTTTGTGAGGGGTTGTGAGTACCGGACATCAGCTTACGTGTTGTGGCAAATTGCTTGGGCAAGGGATGCAATGATACGTTAATGCGCTTTTTGGATAAAGAGAAACAGGCGCCCGGAGCTTGTACCATCATGTAACCATGTACGAGCAGAGCTGCTTGTTTGTTCTTTTGCACTGGTCAACTGACCGAAAGTGGCTGAATGCCGAGTGCTTCAACGTTGACTAGTATCGGGGACAACACAGCACCCCCGTCATAGAAATGCCTTGCATGCCACAAGCAACACAAGACATCCTTTCCTGGCACGCGTTTACACCTGGGTCACAAATCACAAGCGGTGCAGTGTTGCCAACTGAGTTGTCAGATGTTGTGAGTTGCAAGATTCGACCGAACCAAATTGTGATAGTGATGTCCGCGAGCGCCATTCCTTTTGCCAAGGTTCTGTCAGAGACCGAAGAGATGGTGAAGTACTTTTCAGCCGACACATCGGAATACCCTTGGGTCTACTTCTTGGCAGCTCGCGTCGCAAGATGTGTGATGGGAACCCTGGATGAATACACCGATTGATTGGTGGGAGGTGGTCCTCTTTTACTGGGGCCCTTCAATGTAGCAGTGGGAAGTACACTATCATCAGGTTCATCGATGTTCGGGTCCAATGTGCCACCTTCCAGCTGGCAACTTGCTTGTGGCAAGCATGGGTGTCTACAATGCATCCAATATATTTCAATCCTTGGTCTGAATCAGATATTGCCATTTTTTGCATACAACGTGACGGGAGAGGTTTGAATTGACCTGCGCAGTCTTGATTTCTGGCCAGCATAGGACAACTTGGAGTACATCGGAGAGACCGTGCTTGGAGGAAACACCATCATTGGCCCAAAGCAGCATTATCTCTCCATGTTCTACACTTCGTCCCAAGCTGCTTGTGAAGCTCGGCGTGCAGGTATTATTTGTTGTGCCCTTGTTGTGTCTTTGCGTTTGGAGAGAAGCGCACTGCACTCACAAACGACCGGCATTTGAAGATTTGTGTGCGTGGGTGTGGGTGTGTAGCAATGAAGCCTATTGTCCTGAATCCACACACCCACATGAACATGAACATGTTTTCTTGTCCCGGGCTCATTTTTGGATCCACGCACGCATCAGCATGCCAATGTCTTGACGCTTTGCCAGACACACGAAGCCGCTGTTTTTGGGCCGGAAGCCGTGCCTCTGTGTTTCTGCTGTCGACTCATATGTTTGCACGTGTTTCTCAAGTTGGCATGCCACCAGAAGAGCTTGAGCCAGGCTTTGATGTCAGTGTAGCGTTGGCTATTGCGTTGTTTTTGCTTTGTTTGTTTGCTTGCCTGTGTGTGTGAGCTTGCTTGCGTGCTTGCTGCTTGCTTGCTGGCTGGCTGGCTGGCTGGCTTGCTTGTTTGCTTGTTTGTTTGTTTGTTTGTTTGTTTGTTTGTCTGATTGTTTGTTTGTGTGTTTGTTTGTTTGTTTGTTTGTTTGCTCGCTTGCTTGCTTGCTTGTTTGTTTGTTTGTTTGTTTGTTTGTTTGTTTGTTTGTTTGTTTGTTTGTTTGACACACAGCCAGACTGCTCTTGGTGAAAGCAGATCTCCGGCGAGATTGCACGCTACGTAATGGGCAAACCTTGGGTTCGCGCAGAGGAACGGTCCACCGCGGGGGCCTTCGTTTTGAAACGAGGACGGCAAGAACAAGAGCCAGTGGACGGCAGAGGATGTCGAGGAGATCTTCCCAGGCCCCAAGTTCGCGGAGACAGTTTTCGGCCAGTTAAATGGGTGGCTCGTTTTGTCTGGAGTGAACCCCTTGAGTTGTTTGGGGGGGGGGTTAGGGGAAACTAAATAGCCACCATGATTTAAATGTTATTCTGCCTTCCTTGTTTTTTTTTTGGGGGGGGGGGTCTGAGGGGAAACTACAAGGACAATCATCTCTCTTTTTTTTGGGGGGCGGGGGCCGGGTCCTCTAAAGAAAAGAATCACTTTTACTGCCATTTTGGGGGGATTCCCATGTACCATGTAAAGCAGGTTTTGGGATGCATCCTTTAAGGAACCGTGTACCAACTAAATAATTCCGCTGGCATTTTTTTGTGTGATTCTGAAACAACAAAGGTAGATGCTTGCTTTTTTCAGCAAGGGAGCGCCCACTCACAGCCAAGAATAGGTGTTTTTTTGCAGTGAGGGCACGCCAATTCTGCCGTCAGGGGAAGATCACCCCAAACCCCAAGAGTGCTATTGCTGGGAGGGAGGAGGGTTGCTCAACCAATTCCCATTGACCGTGGCTTATGACCCCTTGGCCCTTGTCTCTTGGTCGTGCATCCATGCGCCTTCCGCTTGTCAGTCGCATAGGCTATGAACTCGGTTGCATACTTTTACGAGGTATAATATGTGACGTATACGTCAACATGTACATACACGTATACATTCACTATACCTGCACGCATGCATATGGGGGTCGTCCCAAAACCCCAGTCTTCGGTTTTCATTGTCGCCGAACGGGGAGAAGTCAAAGTTGGCAAAAGCTATGCGAGCGCAAGCGCGCAAGTGCGGCCCAAGGGTTTCATGCTAGCCTCATCAAAAGAAGTGATATCTCTGTAGCTGACACGACAGAATTCAAAAATCAACTGCCGCGACTAAACAACTGCGCGGCCCAAGGACCCAATCCCGGGCAGAACTTAGGACAGCCCCCATATACATACGCGTGTACCTATGCATACACATACACATACATATACACAAACACGGGCATATGCTTATACATACACATACACTGCTATACATGTACATGGAAATGTTTGTACATACATTTATATATATATATATATATATATACAATTTGTGCATTCTAATATATATATATATATGTATACATATGTATGCTTGCATGTATGTATATACGTGTGTGTGTGCTTATATTGGCTGTCAGGCCATGTCTATGTGGACGATGGGAGCTTGGAGACTCGCCGCGCAGCCTTTCTCTCCTACCACTTCACGGCCTGGGGCAAGGGAGGGCGGGGATGAAGCGGCGCACTGACTTTGATAGGGCGCAAGAGGGCCGTTGGGAGAGATCTGAAGCTCCGCTCGCTCAGGTGCATCCAATAAAAACATATAACAACAAAAACAGGGCAGACGTGTTGTTTGGCCGTCTTTGTCATTCCTATCGAAGTACCGAGTTTCAATGCTTGTCCAAGGTGTGGCGAGCTGTCCAAGAGCAGTGGGGTTGGGAGGTTAGTCCTCAATGAGGGCTGCATTCATCCGATATCTGCATTTCCTACCGGCTTGATTCGCTTTTGCCCTAGATGACCAAACTTGTTTGTAGTAAAGTCTGGACGGTCAGCATCAGGAAGGAGCGCGTCAAATTCGAAGACGATTTGTTTAGAGCTTGGAATCGGAAAAAGTAGCATTAAAGCGACCATGTGGAGGGGCCAACACGACACATGCTTTGTGGAGCGCTCCATCCAGAAATGACCGAAGCACATGCTTGCAGGATATTGTTGTATGGCCCTGTTGCCATGGCAAATGCCAAGTGAGTCACGCGAGACACATGGATGGATGATGGTTCGTGGGGACAGTCCCAATCCAAAATAGATGAGTCTCCACCTGTTTGTCCTTTTGCAGAGCTTTGAAAAGTCAGGTTTTGATACTGTCCACGCGCTTCCACTTGCCATTGTGGGAGGGCCACCATCACTTACCTTATTGGCTACGAGGTACTTACCTGGTTACCTACTAAAGTTCATAGTTTTTTTTTGGAGTCACTTGCAACCCTCAGTGCAAACCCATGCGGGCAGGTTGCAGCACATGGGATGGCCTCAAGACCGGCTTACCACCTCAGATCCACTTCAAGGAAGCCTTTCACTTTGCTTTTCGTGCAGAGCCTGACCCATTGGTTTCGTTCAAACCACTCTCCGCACCCGTCCCGTGCCAGGCCATTTGCGTGGGCCCGGAGGAGATGCATTTGGTGCCCCAGGCGGCTACGGCTTGAGTGAAGGGAATGGCTCCTGAAAGACATGGCAAGGTTTCTGTTTGATGCCTTGGGCCTTTTGACTTTTGCCTTTGGCCTTTTTGGCCTTCGTTTCTTTTGCTGGTTTCTCAATCTGGGAGCCCAAGTCTATTCAACATAACGTTCCCGATGATCAACGGGCATCGCCAAAACTGGCGAAATGCCACAACTCACGTCTAATGGGTAGTGTCAAAATAGGGGCACCCCCAACATGGATTTCGGGGCTCCTTTTGGTTCCTGTAACCCACCCAAAAAATGGGTACCCTCAAAAACCACCCCAAATCCTCTCTTGCCCCGTTGTGTGGGGCTTGCCTGGCTTTCCCAGCGGGAACTGGAAGTTCAGTGCGACGCTGCTCTTAGTGTCAACTCCAGATTTATTCGGGAAAAACAAATAAACAAACCTATACCAATCTAAGGGCTTTTGTTTTGCACTGGGATTACACCCTTGGAACATGACCCACACCGGTTCAAAATAACACGGTTTTATCCAGACATATACCTAAATGGGGTCATTTCCCAGTGGGTGTAATCCCAGGGTGTAATGCAAAAACCCTTAGAACCAATCAAGGGCAGGACACAATCCAGAAGGCATTTTTCTTTCATCAGTATGGTCCTGGGCAGTTCGAGAGTTCGAGTGGGGGATGTGAGAGTCACCTCGTGAATGGTCGTCGTTGAACAAGCCAGTGCTGAAGAGGGATTTGTTTATTCGTCCGGACACCACTTCGAGACCTGTGTTCATTCTCGGTCGCGGTGTGCACTGCTTTGTCAAGCTTATCCTGATCCTTCACTGCAGGTACACCGCCCTAGGATTGTCTACTAATTAAACTGACACTCTAGAAATCGTCACTCACTCTAGAAACCGTGACTCACTCCTAGTGGAGCCAAGCAATTGCTGCGGAATTTCCGAACTTCCCACCAAGCTGCATTGATAGCCGCTGTTCCAGGGTAAAATTGGGGGGAGGGCCTTTTTTTCGAGCACCCCGCCTCAAAACTCGGTTCTCCAAAAGAGGCCAAAGGGAAGCTGAAGCATTTTGACCTCGTTGGTTTGTCCACACCGTCTCCTTGTGTTTTTCCAAACCGGAAGGGGGAAGCTGTTGATCAACCGGAAACCGGGGGGAAGCGGCAGCGCCTCATTGTCCGGGACTCCGAGTGACCCGGTGATCGACGCCAGGCGGTGGTCGACGCGGTGGGCTTCGGCACCCACCCGCTGGTGCCCAGCGCGGTGCACGAGCGCCTGCAGAGGCGAAGGGTGAGGGTGGACGGCGGGTGGATTTCTTCGTGGGCGGATGGGCGGATGCGGCCCGGGTCTACGTGGCAGGGAGGATTCGCCGGAGAAACGTGTAAGCAAATGGGATTCAACTGAAGGTGTTGGTGATGAAGGGAGGTGCAAGAAACTGGATGAATTCGCATGAAGGTGTCGGTGATATAGGGAGCCGCAACGGATTGGAATGAAGGTGTTCGTGATAAAGAGAGCGGCAACAAACAAGATGGATTCAGATGAAGGTGTAGGGTGATAAAGGGAGCCGCAACAAACTGGATGGATTCAAATGAAGGTGCTGCAACAAACCTCTGACTAACAAGCCCAGTTCTTAATCAAGGGGGTCCTCCTGCAAGAATGGATTTCTTGCGAGGGGTCAGCATTAATATGTTTCTATCCAAAAACACTGGGTATGATTGCAACTTGTTATTTTGCTTGAACAAATAATTTTGTTCCATTTGCACTCGCAATTGCTGGCTGTGCCTTGTTCGAAGAAGACCTTCTTTAGGGCTTCAAGGAGTTCAAGGGATTGCATGGCAAGTCCCTGCTGGCCCTTACGTCGTTTTTGTTTGAAGGTGGTGTGGTCCAGTTGGGATTCCCCCCAACGAAGATGAAAGGAAGGTCGTTTGCATGACCTGTTGCAAGGGGCGCAAGGGGCCCCCTTGTGCCCTGAATTGGTGGCTACTGCCACGTTGCTTTCTTGCTTTCTTCAGACAAAGATGGCAAACGCCAGATGCCAACCCACGTCCAGATAGCTGGCGCGCGATATCTGTTTATTGGGTCGGGAGACCTCTTCCCTCAGAATTTGCCCTCGAATATTCCGAAGTTCACTTTGTGTTGTGAGGGCAAAAGGAAGAGAGCTCTGCATCCTTTTGCGCCCAGCAAAAACGCTGCGCTTCAACTCGTCGGAGTGGCAGAACGAGGTCCGGATGCAAAGCTCCCAGGCTCCCCTCAGGTCACAGCCCCACCTGGCAGAACCAGCTTGTCAGCTGTATTTGGGTGGCTCGTGGCTTTTTTTGTTGTTGTGGGGGCCCTTCTTTTTTTTGTGTTGCCTTGAAGGGAAGCCAAAAGGAAACCACCCATTTTTCGAGGTCCGCGATTTTTTGAGACACACCCACCTCGTGTCAGTGGACAGCAACTTACAAAAAAGAAGCACATGTTTAAAGAACCCGACCCAGACTCTGGCCCCCTAAGAGAAGCCACCAGGGCAGCTCGTTTGAGTCATTCCAACAATAGGCCATGCCCAAAGTTTGGCGGGCGCCAGGGTCTTCTTCCACTTGCCGGATGCGGTGCAGCCATTCGTGCGCCTGCATCCCTTGATCCTGGAGGGCTACCTCGAGGATATGCCGCTGGGCTGATGCGTTCTGCCGCCATGGTCTGGCTCCAGAAAGCCTACCCAGTTTTGGTCAGTTGGGTATAAGCAACACAACCCGATGATTATATAGAATACATGTATATTATATACATATATATATATATATAAACAAGCACCAATGTAGTGAGGAACAGGGTAAAAAGATGGGGGGGCGAGCGACGCGCTGGCGCTCGGGCGAGAATTCAGTCTCATGGGTTCCGAGAAGTCCTCGAAAGCCGATCCAAGTGCTGAGGGCTCCACTTGGCTCGTGCTTTTCAACTCACTCCTTGAATTCCTGGGCGCACTTTCGGAACTGCTGTCACGCTCTGAGAGTAAAGCTTGGACCTCGAAAATGGGGCAGCGGTTTTCTCTTCTGGGCTTTCCTTTAAAACCCCCCCCCCAAAAAAAAAGAGAGGAAGAAAAGAACAGGAAAAGTAGCCGCAAACACAGAGACACCCATTCGGGCTTGGATCAAGGATGAGTTCACCTGAGCATGGAACCCGACGTGCGCTTTGGCCCAATTTCCGGTGAGACAGCAACGACAAGAAACGCTGGACTCGGATCCATGGCGCGCAAGCCGTAGGGGCGTTGCTCCGCAGGTTTCATAGCGGACATCTCATAGATCCAGGGGCTGGAACCTCTCGAGCATATCAGCTTGGCAATTGGGTGTCGGGTTTTTCAGCGACCCCCACCCCCCGCACATGGTGGCTTTGATTTTGGCGTTCTTTTCAAACAACCAAAAAGAGGTACCCTCAACAACAAGACATGCCGAAGTGAACAACGTCAGATTGTATCCCTGGAAGTTGGACCCGCAAACATGATGCCAGTGCGTTCAAACGTCCTTGTCTTCGGGTTTTTGCCTTGCAGCAAGCAACGCCTGGAAGTGGAAAGAAGAATCTGGGTCTGTCTTCTTTGAGGGTGCCCTTTTTGGGTTGGCTTTAAAAGGAAACAAACATGACAAATCATCATTTTGGGGGTCCGAGTGCATTCCATCGTTTTGGGGTCCGAGTCCTTAAAAGGGACGCACCCCATTTGGAAGGTTGTGCGGTTGTTGCAGATGCATGCCACAAGGCGCAGGTCTTGGTCGATTGTGTGTGTGTGTGTGTCGCTTCAACGGGCCATCCCTGTGCTCGTTAAATCAAACGACGGAAGCCGCCGATGGATTTTCGTGCAAGTCCTGCTTTGTCTCCCTGATGTGCCCCTCTTCACCGATTCATATGCTGAAACCCAGCTTTTCCCGGTCCGAGTAGATCAGCCGTCCACGGCTCAAGAAAAAGTTGACTCTTGATTAATAATCTTCCCCCCCAGTTATGTTTGTTTGCTGAATCAGGGGTCAACAGTAGGGGGTCCTTTCAATGGGAGTCCGCCTGATAAGTGGCCCCACTTCCTTTTGCTCAGGTACAACAACCCGGCGCCTTGGCTGATCTCGGGAGTTTGGCCCTCCAATGCAAAATTCGCTTCTGACAATGCCCATCGTTTGTGCAAAGCGTGTGTGACATGGTTGCTCTCGATACGAGCTGTTTGGGCCTGCTCTTTTCTGGAGAAAGTGCCAATGGCCGAGGCGAAGAATGATGCAATGTACTACAAGCAGACCTTCCTTTTTCTCATGATGGAGCTCTTCCGATACAGATACCGGCACGACATTCAGCTGCTGGGACACATTTTGGACAGGGGGACGGGTGGTAAGTCTTGCTCCCTATGAGATCTACCAGAGCCAACAAAAGTCTGCCACAGACAGATACATTCTGTCAGGTGTTGCACACTCGGCATACTCATAGTCAACCCATCTCTCTGCACTGTGCAGAGCTGGTGCCGGATGCCGAGGACGCGTATCAGAAACTCTGCTTGCGCGATGTGCACGGATCAGAGGAAGTTGCAAACCATCCAGCAGGCCAGCCTCACGGAAGCTCGGCTGAATCCCGCAGCTTGCTGTGGAGTCTTGTTTCGCTTTCCGCACGTATGTGGCTGTGCCACAAAGGCCGGGTCATGAGTCGTGCCTTCCTGCTGAGTGATGTAAATGATAAAGTTGCCTGTTGGTTTCCGTTAAGATACTGGCACAAGTGGGATTCTTCGAGCATCTTTGAGACTCTGAACTCACGCTTTTGGCATGTTCTCTGAGGACGGTCCACCGGAGATCGCGATTGCCTTTTGCCTCATGAGCCGACGGTCAGGCAGTGCCTTGCGCACTGCCATCCGTCAAACTTGGGCAAGGCGTCTAGGCGCGGAGCTGCCAAGCGTGGAGCTCGTGTTTGTTTGAGCTTGTTTGGCCATGCTCGCATGTCGCTGATGCACATGGGGCCAGAGTTGCACTCCAGTCATGGTCCTTGAACAGGGCCGGTGAATCACCATTGAAGGACACTTCTGCTTAGACTTCCAGGACCTTTCTTTCACGCAGATGTTCAATCACAACGTCGTTCAAACGCTTTTTTACACAGCAGTTCCAGGGTTCGCGCTTGGTGGGGCAATGGTGCTACGACGGTTTAAGCACGCTTCAGCAAGTTTGACATTCTGCGTACGTTTCCAGCGATACTTTCCTACGCCTAAGGCAACATGCAGGTAAGTCCTCCTCATCGATGCTCCATGGTATGTTGCCACGACTTGGATCATCCTCAAGGTGCATGGCCCTTTTTCACAATCTTCCTCCGAGAAGGTGTTCCAAGCGTTTTGGGTGTACAACTCTGACATATTGCAAGCTCTGGGTTTTTTTCATGATCTCCGACACGGTGAAGGCGTCTTTTTTCTAAATTTCGCTTGAATCTCGGAGCAGATCAACGGGATGAGGGAGTCTTTGAGCCTTTGAGAGCTGCGAAGCTGCAGGCCCAACCTCCGCCCTGCGCTTCTTTGTGGGCAAGGCGGGATCGGCGTTCGTCTGACTTTCGCGGCGATGGCTAGCGCCCACAACATGGGGCAATTGGGTTTTCCTCTTGGACCGCCTCCTTCGACTCCCTGGCCCGCCCGTTTTCCGGACTCGGGATCGAGTCCGGCCTCAGACCTTAAACTCTGACACACAGCTAATTTACTCGTCCTAGGCCTTCAAGCCTGCGTAAGCCGCAACTAACTGGTAAGGACACATGCCCAAGGTCGTTGGCGCCTCCAGCCACTTGAGGATTGGTTCTGGACCTGTTCCCTTTTGAACCCCAAACTTTTTTGGGCCCCTACACCAAAAGGTGATGCTGGCGATGCTGCTGGTGCTGTGTGTAGGTCGAGGCGAAGGCCATTCGTCACCGGTTGTTTCAGTTAAACTTTGTTGCTGGTGATGCTGGCGATGCTGGTGGTGCAAACTGCGGCTCAGAGGTAAGGCTGAATAAGAAATAGTGGGCACGCAATCAGAGTGGGCGTGTTCCTCAACGAACCAGATGCAATCTCACATCCTTCAGATGCTGGGCCGGATGTCGTTGAGCTCCGGCCCTCATGAAATATACCATGTTCCACTCTCTCTTACCCGAACATGTGGGACATCTTGCAATACATGAATTGCGACCAAAGAGGTCGTTCTGATGGGATGCTTCTTGTGACGATTAGCGTTTGGTTCTCAGGCCCGGGGTTCCCATCGGCTTGCGGTCGTGATCTTGATTCGAATCTCTGGTTGTTTCATGGCTGGGTCTTCTTTTGAGTTGGCAGCCCTTGTGGGTTGGTTTTAAAGGGAAACCACCAGGAAAACCTACCCTGTGGGGGGTTCCGAGTCGCAACAAACAAGGACACGCCTGTACATGTGGAATTGACCGTTGGAAAAGGAACCCGGAACCTCAGCCAGGCCCTTCCCAATGCGTGTTTTTTTTTTTCTTTCCGGCGAGAGCTGAGGTCGATGAGGGCGGAGCCTTTGAGGACCAAGGGGCCCCGGACGTGGTGGAGCTGGACGCTCCGGAGAGCTACGAGGCGGTCACGCTGAAGGCCGCTTGAACTCCAGGGACCGACGCCGACTTCTCGAGGGACGGCGCCCCCCAAAAACGACCAGCGAATGCGCCGTTCGGAGTTCTCCAAAGATTAGTTTGGGGATTTTCCTTGGAAGCCACCATTTGGAGATGGTAATTCGTTGTGTGCTTCCTGGAACCATTTAGAGATGGTTGCGAGGATGTCACTATGGAATGAGTCTGGCGATACCCCCAACGCCGCACCCGTTTTTGAGATGCCGATGTTTGTCGAAATGAACCAACAGAAATCTTGCATGCCTTCGGCTCACACTGCTGACATTAGTGTTTGCTGGCTAGAGAGCACATGTTTTCTTGTGATACCAGCTAGGTGCCATAGGCCACAGCTGTCTCGGCTTCTTAGGCATGGGCCAACAAATAACAGGCGTAATAAACTCACAGAAAGGCCCCTCCTGCGCTCGGTTGGTCAAACGGAAGCCGATTATCAGATGAGCCACAATCAAAACCTGGGTAGGTGAAGGTTAGTAAGGGACGATCCCACCCATAGATAGGTGCGGCAGCTCTCTTAATTCTTTACATGGTTCTGGGAAGACCATGTCAATACCGGGCTTTTATTATGACTCATGTGGGGTTGTATGAATACCCCGCGCCTTTACATTATGTAAGGCTTCGTCCGGAGAAAGGTGCATGGCGGAACGCCTGTAAAACGATAAGGAAGAAAAAAACGATAACGATTGTGTTTACTACTACTACTACTCCTCCTCCTACTACTACTACTACTACTCCTACTACTACTACTACTACTACTACTACTTCTAATTACTACTACTACTACGTCTACTACTACTACTACTACCACTACTACTACTACTACTAGTACTACTACTACTTCTACTTCTACTTCTGCTACTACTACTACTATTACTCACGACTACTACTACTCTACTGCTACTACTCTACTAATACTACTACTACTGCTACTACCACTACTACGACTACTGCTACTGCTATACTACTACTATTACTTATGCTACTACTGCTTCTACTACTACTACTACTACGACGACTACTACTACTACTACTACTACTACTTCTACTACTACTACTACTACTACTACTGCTACTTCTACTACTTCTACTACTGCTACTACTAACTGCCGATATAGTAGATAGGTAAATAGATAGATAGACTTTTGATAGATGGATAGGTAGAAAGATAGAAATATCGAAAGATATATAAGGTAGACAAGTTAGATAAGATAGATACGGTAGACAAGATAGATAAGATAGATAGGATAGAGATGGTAGACAAGATAGACAAGATAGATAGGATAGATGAAATAGATAAGGTAGACAAGATAGGTAAGATCGATAATAAGCTAGACAAGACAGATAAGATTGGTAAGCTAGACAAGATGGGTAAGATAGATAGGCCAGACAAGATATATAAGATAGGAAGATAGGTAGATTGATTGATGGATTGATAGATCGGTGGATTGTAGGTTGACAGGTTAGAAAGATAGATAGGTACATAGGTAGGTAGGTAGGTCGTTTGAAAACAGTAGATACATTAGATATATGCGCTCCTCCTGTGTCGGCTTCGCTGCTTTCATTGTTTGAGGGTGTCCACTTTTCATGCTTAGCTGGCAAGAGGGGTGCTTTTGCGGGGATGTGCTTGCCGGCAGGTGGAACAGGAGAGCTGCGTCTACCGGAATTTAAGGAAGCAGCTGATAGTGATTTGGCTTTGGGTTGGCGAGTTCAGCATGTCCTGTTTGGATGACTTGAGTTTGGTTGAAGCTGCCTATCTTCAGCGCAACTCCAGTCAAGGGTCGCGCGCTGCTTGTGCGCATAGATAGTGGAAAGAGACAAACAAACGCGCGAACATCTGGGTTTGGATCGCTTTGTTTGTTGCAAGGGGGTCAAGATCGGCATCAGGAGCTGCATTTTCTGGCCATCTTCGGCGTAGCTGGCAGGGTGACTTCGGTGATTGCTTTTGCTGTCCAGGGCCCGAAGAAGGCCAAGGCCAAGGCCAAGGCCACGGGGTCAGGGGTGCCGAGCGCCAAGTGAAACACTTGGCTAAAGGCAAGAACAGGAAACACGGGCGGCTGTCCTTCAAAACGGGAGCCACAAACATCAGGAAAGATCACATGACAACTACAATGGCTCAGAAGGTTTGCCCTGACATTGATTTGCAAGCATGCCCAGCCATGCCGCGCAAAGTGCTCGGTCTCCTTTTGGCCCAGATGTCCTAGAGATGATCCTGTAAACCAACCCTTGGAACTGTTCAAGGGAATTTTCAGGGATTGGTTATGCAGGGATGGATGTTATGTACTACGTATCTAAGAGGTATATACGGGGCATCTTAGGCGCAGGATTTTGTCCATCAAGAGTAGGTGGGTTGGTATTGTTTTTTCAGCAGAGCTCCAGTGATTACCGGGTTTTGGACTTCATTGCTGAACTGGCAACTTGTGTGAGCTTTTCTCTCCCAGCCAGTGGACACACGTCATACCATGTTTTCAGAAGGGGTCGTCATGGGGCCTGCGTTTTGCAAGTAGGGGAAACACGCAAAAACAACTCGAGTTTTCAAAGAAAAACAGACCCTATGTCAGACCTACATGTGGGGTGAGGTCTGATTTTTGTTTACCCTGAACCCTCAACCCTCAACCCTAAACCCTAAACCCTAAACCCTAAACCCTAAACCCTAAACTTTTAGTGGCTCGCGCCAATGTGCGCCAACACAGCAAATTTTTGAAACGGTTGCTTCGGGGGCGCGGGCCGCGGAAGAACAGGAGTAGGCTGGGCGACCGACCCGAGAACCAGCGGAGGAGGATTCGGCTGCGACAAAGCGAGCGATTCGCGGAGGAGGAGGAGTTGCCAAGGGTTTCAGCTGCTAGCAACTTCGCGCTTCAAGAGCCTTCGGGGAAAAGTTGCGAAGCCCGCGGAGGAACAGGAGTAGACTGGGCGACCGACCCGAGAACCGGCGGAGGAGGATTCGGCCGCGACTAAGCGAATTTGCGGAGGAGGGGGAGTTGCGAAGGGATTGAGCTACCACTTCCGAACTTCTGGAGACAGCCTGCGTTTAAGAGTTTGAAGGTCCGAGAGGTTTACCGGCCCGAGTTCGAGGGCTTAAGAGTCCAAGAGTTTGACGGTTCAAGGGTCCGAAGGTTTGAAGCCCAAGAGGTTGTGGGTTTAAGGGTCCAAGGTTCGAGGGTTGGGGGCTGCCCAAGAGTTTGAGTTTGAGGTTTGAGGGCTCAAGGGAGTTTGAAGGTTTGAGGGGTTCAAGGTTTAATAGTTGGAAGGTCCGAGGGCTTCATGTCTGACACTTGGAGAGTTTGAGGGGTCGAAGACTTGACAGTTGAAAGTTTGCGGTCAAGGGTTTGAGGGTTTGACAGTTTGAGAGTTTGGGAGTTCGAGTGTTTGAGAGTCCAAGCGTTGAAGGGTTTGAGGTTCTGACGCTTTGAGAGTCCAGGGGTTTTGAGTTCGAGGGTCCGGGGGTTTCAGGGTTTGAGGCCCGAGGGTTAAGGGTTTGAGGGTTTGAGGGTCCGTGGGTTCTGACTGCGAGGCTAGAGGCGAGCTTGTCTTCGCCGCAGCTTTTCTTCGCCGCGGCTTTTCTTTAGTTCTTCGCCACAATGTCGACTCCCGTTCGCAAGACTGGCTTTGACAAGCCGCGGAACCCGGCGGCGCCTGTGCGGCTGGCGGAGCAGCGCCTGGCGGCGGCGGAGGCCGCGTACAAGGCGCGCGGGCCCTCTAAAGTCTGTTTCAAACTTTTCCCCCGAACGACGCACGCCCTCCCTGAATAATGGAAACGCTTTCGGTAAAGAAATGTGTTTGTTGCTAGGGGCCACGTTCCCAACAATGATGGTTTGTGTTAGCAGGCAGCCTTTCGTTGCAGGCGACGGCGGGAAAGCGCGGGATGACGGAGGCGGAGAAGGCGGCCCGTCGCGAGGCGCGCGAGAAGGTCAAAGCCGCGAAGGCGGCTTTGCAGGCGGAGGGGAGGAGGTTCCTGCCTTTCGCGCGGGCGAATGAGCTGCAAATTAGGGACCTCTCGGTGAGCGGGACGCGAAGACGTCCCCCGCCGGGGGTCGCCTGGGAGACAGAGGGCCTCGAGGTCACCGAAGTGTTGACCCGAGGCGGGCGAGAAACCCATTACTACTACTACTACTATTTCTACCACTACTACTGCTGCTACTACTACTACTACTACTACAGCTACTCACTACTGCTACTACTACTACTCCGACTACCACTATCACTACTACTATTTAGACTACTACTACTACTACTACTACTACAACGACTACTACCACTACTGTTATTAAAAATACTACTACTACTACTTCTACTACTACCACTACTACTACTAATACTACTACTACTTCTTCTTCTACTACTACTACTTCTACTACTACTACTACGACTACTACTGCGACGACTACTACTACTACTACTTCTACTAGTACCACTACTACTACTACTACTACTACTACTACTACTACTACTACCACTACTACTACTACTACTACTACTACTACTACTACTACTACTAACTACTACTATCACCACTACTCGACTACTATTGCTTCTACTACTACTACTGCTACTACTATTCATACAACTAGTACCAGTACTTATACTACTACTACTACTACTACTACTACTACTACTACTACTACTACTACTACTACTACTACTACCACAACTTCTATTACGACAAGAGACAGGGGCACCGCGTCAAGCTTCAAAACCGGAACTGCCCACGGTTCAAAAAGCAGTCCGAAACAGTTCGAAACATGTTGGAAGCAGCCAAGCCACCACAGGACCATTTGAGCAAGTTACCCAACTACGATTACTATTGCGATTGCTACGACTATTTTTCTACCACTGCTACTGCTACTACTACTACTACTACTACTACTACAACTACTACATTATTACATTACTACTAGCCCGTCAGACGGGCTCGCCCGTCCGTCCGTCCAACAGCACCGTTGTTATTACTATTGATTGCTATTGCTACAAGTATTATTATTCATAAACTACAAGAACAACAACAACAACAACTACTACTACTACTACTATTAATACAACTAGTACTAGTACCTTTACTACTAGTACTACTATCACGACAAGAGACAGGGGCGCCGCGTCAAGCTTCAAAACCGGAACTGCCCAGGGTTCAAAAGCAGTCCGAAACAGTTCGAAACATGTCTGAAGCAGCCCCGAAGTGCCTCAAGCCACCGCAGGGCCCATTTGAGCAAAACTACTACTACTGCTACTGCTACTACTACTACTACTACTACTACTACTACTACTACTACTACTACCACGACCGCGACTACTACTACTATTACTACTAGTGGTACTACTGCTACTACTACTACTACTGCTACTACTACTACTGTTACCTTATTACTATTACTACTACTACTACTACTACTACTACTACTACTACTACTACTACTACTACTACTACTACTACTCGTACTATTACTAGTACTGCTACCACTACTACTACTTCTACTACTACTACTACTACTACTACTATTTCTACTACTACTATTACTACTACTACTACTACTACTACTGCGGCTGCGGCTGCTACTACTACTACTGCTGCTGCTGCTACTACTACTACTACTGCAACCACTACTACTACCATTACAACTATTATTACTACGCATACTAGTATTACTATTTTTTATTACTAGTATTTCTACTACGACTACAACTATTTCTATTATTATTACTATTACTACTTCTACAACATGTATTATTACCACCACCGCCGCCACCACTACTACTACTAGGACTAGTACGAGTACTAGTACTAGCACCAGTACTACTACTACTACTACTACTACTACTACTACTACTACTAGTACTACTACTACGACTACTACTGCTACTACAACTACAACAACAACTACTACTGCTGCTGCTACTACTACTGCTACTACAGAATTATCATCCAACACCAATGCTTCCAATGACCTGTAAAACGACAAGGAAGAAAAAGCGATAACGGTGTCGAGGGTCAATTAAAAAGGTCACGGGGTTTTCTTACAACCCCATGTGGACTTGGCGGCAGACTTTGACCGACCTTAGGCTGAGCTGTTTAGAAAGGGTTCCTTCATCCAAGTAGCTGTCAGGATTAGTCACTGGTTGATCGAGGGTCAGCATGAAACAAGCAGGCGGGACCATCCGTTGGGCAGACACCCCGCCTTGTAGACGTTGGTACACCCTTGTCATTCAGACTATGCTGGGCCATCTCCTTGCAGTTTAATCCTTCCAAAGTCACCGTACAAAAGGTACTGGTTGACCCCGCTCTTCACCCTTCAAAGTCCCAGTTTTAGGAGGTGAAGGAAGACGTTTTGGATCCTTTCAGCAGGGTTATGCCAGAAAAGTTGCGCCAGTCTCCAATCTGCGAGGCGCTGTCGATGCTGCACTGGGCTCGCCAGAGCTTCCCCCAGCTGCGGTTTTTGGTCCGCGGGGACGACGACGTCTACCTGCGGCCCTTCTTCCTCCTGCGGCAGCTGGAGCAGCGGCCGGCAGTAGGTGGGAGGGGTTTTTCGCTTTCCCCCTTTGCTAAAGACACGTAAGCTGATGTCCGGCACTCGCAACCCTCACAAAATGCAAGACAGACCAGCCAAACTGTTGTCTGTGCACACGCAGCGACCACCGCTGTCTGAGCAGGAGGGACCCTACTGGGTGAAATGCAAACTACCACTAACACCGTCGAAGCGAATGCTACTTCCAAAGACAGATGTCACATCTCTCTTAACCTTGATTCCGAATAACATCCCCTGTCCTATAAGCCCGAATGCAAAAAGGAATGTGCAACAGTTCCCGAGATACTTGGCTTGGTCGGGAGGCGGAACCTGCTGAGGTCAAAACTTCTTGCGGTGGTCATGGGCCCTAAAGGGCCTTATATTAAGGGCGTGTCCTTGGGTTATCCTGGGCTTATCCAGGGATACCCCCCCCCCCTGTAGCCCCCCCGAAGATTCCATGCTAAAGCCACTAAAAGGGCAGCGCCGCCGGCAGCGATCAAGGAAAGCGCAAACGCGTAAATCATGAGTTCACCACATACAGGGTTCTTGTCTACAGCTTTCTGAAAAATCCCCACACGCGAAGGGTACGGGCTGCAAGCTGCGTTTGTTGAACCCAGGGACTGACACTGGAGACGGTCGATCCAAAGAGCAACTGCTTGAGAAGGAAGTGCCGATGACTTTTGATTGCCTCATGAACCCGTCAAGCCGTGAGATCGGTATATCCTTTTCGTTCCTTCAATGCAAGTGGAGGTGAACTCAGTTTGTGAAGGGACTGCAGCGTCACTGGCAGTACTAACCACGTAATCTCTGACATCAGAGCAGCACGCTCCAGGCACGTGTAGCTTAGCGGGCTTTGTTCAGGCTGATCTTAGCAGGGAACGAGGGAATGACCCCGAAGAATCATCCCTTGCAGTTTCCTTTGATCTGCAGGTTCGTTCCCAAAGCCCCTGTTGATCCCCTCGCGTGGAAGCGGCCTGCGCAGGTTACCTCTGGGGAAACTTCGACAGCGGCTCCTCGGTGGTGAGGGACCCCACCCACCCCCACTACAACTCAGAGGAGCAGCTGCCCATTCGGAGACTCGAGCTATGGTGCTGTCATTTGGCTGGCTCGAAATTGCGCACGGTTTGGGTCCTTGTCGTTTCGGGCAGGATCAATGCACTGGAAACCTCCCTGCAATTGCCCCGCGTGCCGCCTGACGTTGACACTGGCATTGGATCGTCCGTTCCAGTTTGCGTGCCAATTTTTTCACCCACACCCAGTTAAGTCCCCCTGCCGAAATCACCACAACAAGGATGCACACAGAGCGTCAATATGATTGATCCCAAGTGCCAGTTTCAGTGACCCTGTATCCCCACAAGGGCATCACCTGACCTGGCACACCTAGCAGTAGAATCGGTTTTGGAGCCATTGGAGAGCCTGTGGGAAGCCTTGTGAAGCAGGGCTTGCTCTTCCCTTTGATTGCTCTATGGACGCTTTTTGTTTTGGGGCGGGAGATGGCCTTTCTCCAGACTTGGCCCCTTGCCCAACCCTCCGCCCTCAAGCCCCCAAACAATGGGGACTTTATATGGCCATGGGTCAATACCCCGTACCCCAGTGAACATCCCAATCCCCACTAAAATAGACTACCTATCCAAGATTGTGAATTGGCCTATGCATGCGGCTCCTGCCTGGCAGTCCTTGCTTGGTATGTCGTTCATCGTTGTTTGTTTGATTCTGTCCATATCGACTGGGGGCTTAGCTTGCAACATGTTTTTGCTTGCACCCCTTATTTGGTGGTTTGGATTGGTGGTTTAGGGATCTGAACTCCTGGTTCTTGTGGAGGGTAATCCGCTGAACCACCGCTGAACCACCATCTCGGGGGAAGCTGAAGGTGTTGAGCAGTCGCCATCGTCGCATGTCAATTTTCGCTGCGAGCTGAATCCCGAGGGATCACCCGATGTTCGGCGACATCTTCCCGCCCTACGTGCGCGGCCATTTGTGGGCAGCCCGGCCTATGGGAGGCATCCCCGATGAGGAACACCTCGAATCCAGCGCAACACCTTGCCTTCACACAAACTTCTACATGAAGATGTGAAACATGTACATAGATATACGCATACGTTTGCTATATATTATACAAGTATGTAGGTAGATACATGCATATATATATATATTAATATGGGAGTTGATCAAAAGGTCCTCGCAAGGACTGTTACTTTTGAGAACCATATACAGGCGTTTGTGCCCGCGAAAGACCTTGCGAAGGAGTCTGCAAAAGAGATGTGGTTTCACAAAATATTTAGCGAAACCTTCTCGGAGTCATGCTTGTACGCTTATAAGTATTTGCAAACCCCACTCCCTTGTTCTGGGCCCTTTTGGGCAAGTTTCGCGAAAGATCCGTGAAAGACCTGTGAAAACTCATGGAGCTTGTTCGAATGATGGTGACTGCTTTCATTTCACGCTCAGCGTGGTTTGGCAAGCGCAACTGCAGCGCGAAGACTGGTGTTTTCCGGAAGCATGCATCTTGATCAACCGCACAAAGACGCAATAGAACATACAACTATATTATACACATAGACACACTACTAATCCATATATATATATACATATATATGGTTCCCCCCATGGAAGTAAAACCAGGGTCCATGGGGGGGGGGGTGCATATATATATATATACATATATATATATATATATATATGTATGTATGTATGTCTCTACGCCGCCGAGGCCATGTCCGCGGACTTGTTGGCGCGGCTCAGCGACGTCTGGGCCGCGCAACTCCGGGAGGTGGAGGACGTGACGCTGCAGCTGGCCAAGAGCTTGCCGCACCCCGACGACCCGGCGCCGCGGAGAAAGCGACCCACCCAGCGTGTCCCCACAAAAAAGGGATGAGGTCTGATTCCCCCCCCCCCCTAAAGAAAGGTGCGTTTTCTGGCGTGATAGAAGAGTAAACGTTTGAAGGGCGGGGGAACAATGGAATGGACAAACGAAAGCAGGCAAAGCCGTGTGCAGCAGACTTGTCCAAGGCAACCTGCCCTGGGCAGAGGCAGAATGCAGGTTTTACACTTCAGGAGCAACAACGCAGTTAATATCATAATATCAGTGGACATTTATTCTTCGACAGCTGCCGGCCTTGAAATCAATTCTGGAAGAGAAACAGCAGGAGCATGTTGCCGTCAAAGCGCTCAGGGACTGGTTTCATTCTTCCGTTGGTTGTTATGTACGTGTAGATTCAACTTGCGCAACCCTGCATTTTAGCACGAATCAGTCAAACTGTTCCTGGGAGTTTACTTGTTAGACAGATCTCACACCAATAGCTGTTTGAATGTTCAACCGGATTTGAAGAAACAGTCCTTGAGTTTGTCCTGTATTGTGGAGCCACCAAATAGTGCGGACGGTAGCTAAGATTCCTCACAAGCCCTGACACAGAGATCCGAGTTTTAACTCCAAGGTGCTGGGACGGATCCTAGCATCAACCTCATGGAACCCCAGTGCCAGGATCCCATACCCGTTAGGCGATCGGCGTGATCATGGCCAGTTTGGTGGACATGGGTGACATCAGTTTGGCGGTGGACGACCGGGATCTGAACCACTTTGCGCTGAACCCCTCCTGCAACGCAGCCCTGCTGCAGGGGCCGATCCCCGTTTCGCAAAGACAGGTGACACCCAGAACAGTTTCTCGCTGGACAGGGCCTTCATGAGGACAAGATCAATGGCATGTAGGATCGCTTGACAGGGCCTTCATGAGGACAAGATCAATGGCATGTAGGATGCGCGTTGCTCGTCAGCGGGCTTCAGGCAAAGCTCCCACCTTTTGGTTCAATGAACGCCTGTTGAAGTCTATGGCTAGCTGGGGCCGGGACCAAAAGTCGGATCCGAGGCCACCTACCTCAACATCCACAACCGCACCTGGGTGATTCACCACGTCACCCCGGAGGCCGACAAGCATGGCCTGTAAAATGACGTGTCGTTTCTTTTGCCTGCTGTTTATGCTAACCCCTGTGTGTATAGTTTTTTTTCTTGTCCAGCAAGACTTCACTCCGCTCATGATGAGTAGCCCGCCCTTTTCCTGGGAAATTGTATGGTGCGAGTGACGAGGATTGTTTCCAGCACCAGCCCAAACGTTTGCAATGTTAAACCACTACGCATGATCTTCTTCCTTTCGTGGTTTAGCCAGTCCTTGATGCGTCCCCGGCTGTGGGGCATCCCCAAGACTGAGGATGCCAACCAAAACTGGGCCATGGGAACTGGGTTGCTGTGGGGCCATCCCCAACATAGAGGATGCCAACCAAAACTTGGCAAAGGGAAACCAGGTTGCTGTGGGGCATCCCCAACATCGAGGATGCCAACCAAAAGTTGGCAAAGGGAAACCAGGTTGCTGTGGGGCATCCCCAACATAGAGGATGCCAACCAAAAATTAGCAAAGGGAAACCGGGTTGCTGTGGGGCATCCCCAACATAGAGGATGCCAACAAAAAGTTGGCAAAGGGAAATTGGATTGCTGTGGGGCCATCCCCAACATAGAGGATGCCAACCAAAACTTAGCAAAGGGAAACCGGGTTGCTGTGGGGCATCCCCAACATAGAGGATGCCAACGAAACTCGGCAAAGGGAAATTGGGTTGCTGTGGGGCATCCCCAACATAGAGGATGCCAACGAAAACTTGGCAAACGGAAATTGGGTTGCTGTGGGGCCATCCCCAACATAGAGGATGCCAACCAAAACTTGGCAAAGGGAAACCGTGTTGCTGTGGGGCATCCCCAACATAGAGGATGCCAACCAAAACTTGGCAAAGGGAAACCGGGTTTCTGTGGGGCATCCCCAACATAGAGGATGCCAACCAAAACTGGGCAATGGGAACCGGGTTGCTGTGGCCGATTCCCAAACAAAATGCCAACCAAAACTTGGCAAAGGGAAGCCGGGTTGTCGTGGGGCTGCTGCACCAGGGCGGAAAATGGGGATTGCTATCCCGTTGTTTTTCCAGGCCCAAAAATTCGATCCAGGCGATGCAGTGCTTCTGGTCCATCGACGAGCAAGAGGAGGAAGGCGAGCTGCCGGACCTGTGCTCCTGCTCTATGGACGTGGTGGAGGAAACCGCGGGGAGTGACATGGTGCGAGTTTTCCTTTTTTGGGTGTGTCAGTGTTTTGGAGTTGGTACCGTTTTGGGATGGTTTGGAGGCAAACCAGAAGGACAACTACTATTTGGGGGTCCGAATCCTTGAGAAATATAGCATAGTCATCCTTCCTCAGCTGGATGGTGTTGTAGTCTGCAGAGAAATCTCAGGTGCCCGGCTAGGTTGGTTTGTGGGACCTGGGGCACTGGGATCCTGCCTTACCGACTCTTCAGAGAGTTTTTGGAAGACCCCTCTTTGGATCTCCCTTCTTTGAGTAGCGATAGGTGAGAGCTGAAGAAAGGGGCTGAGCTGTGCCGGAAGAATCGGTCGGCCAATGGAAATATTTCGACCAGAACCGAAGGGGATGCCATGGGGTACTTGACAACCTATGCAGATGTGGTCTCTAAGGTGGATGCTTTGGGGGAATTTTGCGGCGATTACGTAGGGCCAGCTTGCCCCGCCCCCACCCCCCCCCGGGGCGAATTCGGTAGAGGGAACCAATCGATCGAGGCATGAAGATCAGCTTTCAACTGAGCAGCCAGCAGACCCCATAAAAGCTCAAGTGCGGAGCAAACCACGCGGTGCTGGCACGTCCGCGGGAAAGCTGAGCTTGAAATGTGCGGCTTGGCTTGCCTCATGCCAGAGCGCTTCAGCCTTCATGTTCCCCTCCAGAACCCCATAAGGGTGTCGTTACGGATACACCTTTCTTAGGAGTTTCCAAGATAAGTTGTTTGTCCTTTGGCATGCCTTACGTTAGGTTGGGGAACGGTTCTACTTCACCGACAGCCTTGATTGCTAGTGGCCATGCCGATTCGGTTCAGGAGAAGTCGGGGAATCCGGACGATGACGAGTTTGACTATCCGCGGGAGCGTTTCAACGAGTGAGGAAAAAAGGAGAGATTCCAGAGCACGGGCTGCTGAACCAAATTAGTCAAGCAGTTTTGTATCTTGCTTTTAGTGTCCACTGCCCACGACTTGAAACTTGAACAAGCAAGATTGCCATGGCTGTGGGTCAAAACCAATGGTACCGTGTTGGGGTAGGTGCGCCACTCATTTTAGTCTATTTTAGTGCGGATTGGGATGTTCACTGGGGGTACGATTTGGATTTTGACCCATGGCCCCATGAAAAGCAAGGCCCAGCCACTCCAGTTTCCATTCAGCGAATGGCCTGAGGGCTCCAGCTTTGACGGATCCTGTCTACCTGGCTGCTTGTCATCGTAACCGCCGCCTTTTTGACTCGAGGTGAGCTTTGCAATGCCTCCCAAAGGGAGACAAGAGTAAAGGATTTGAGACAGCATAGAAAATACCAACCTGCAAGCCTCGTGTCTGAGCTTTGGCCTCGCAGCCTCTGTCCGAGACCCAGCTGGATTGGTTAGGGACATGTCTCACTATCATTTTAACGTCGCACGTTACCACGATTTCAGCCGGGCAGAATACAGATGACCCGAATCTCTCCTGTTCTACATGCAAGGGGAGGCAACCTTCGGCGCTGCTCCCTTCTCACTTTCAACCATTCAACTAATCCACGATGTGGAATTGTCAAGCTGGGGTTGGGGGATAGGCAAATACCAACATCCCTTGATGCTTTTCTGCTCGTTCTTGCAACCAACAGTCACCCTTGGACGATGTTTGTGGAGGTCGCAGATCTCATCCACTGGTTGAGGCAACCCGAATCCGTGGTTGGCGCTTGCAGCCCGTAGGTCACCAAAGGCTTGCGGCTCTTACGGCTCCCCTTCGACCACGGGAGAGCCTTTTGCACTGACCACGCATGTGCTGTTTGCGCATTTTAAGCCAGAGGATTGAGACGAAGCCTCCCAGAGCCTCACTTAGACTTGTGCTGGCAGTTTCTGTCTGTCTTTTGAATTCCCTTGGGCAGACGTTTCGGACATTCCAGCTGTTCACGGGGTACACACACACACACAGAGCGGACCACCAGGGTTCCTCAAAGCTACGTAAGAATGATCCTCTAGCCTTTGGCAGGTTTTGTTGTTCGTGCTATACAGGAATCCCCATCATTGGGAATGGCAAGGGCAATGGTTGAAGTCCTAAACAGGGATTTCACAAATTTGAAGAAGGATTTCACAGGTTTGCCTGTTTGCCAGCTTGCGGTTTGTTCCCTCCATCCACTACCTCGTGAAGGTACCTTTCCGAGACAGGGCAGAGCCTGAAGGCTCACACGATGAGGTACCTCAACATGTCCTTGACATGCTGTTTGATATTCGGTGAACTTCTTTGATTTCCGTATTCAGAGCCGTAAGCTTGGCAAGGGGAGTCCTAGTCACTACCAATGACAGGGGGCCGAGAAACAGCACCTTCCCACGGCTGCCCTCATGGCTCATTGAATTCTTTGAGGAAGTCCTACAATTCAGATGCTCCTGTGGATTCCACCAATTTGTCCACTTAGAAAAGCTCTTTCGCAATTTTCAAGGGGGGAATCCACAGCAACCATGAACCCTTGATCTGCTCTCGCGCAGGTTTTTCGGGGAAGATCCGCAGGGGTCCACTCTGGGACCAAGGCCTGAGGATGGCGTGGGGGAAGCCGGTGCCGCGAGAGCTGTGCGCGCACGGGCCCAACATGGCCTCTTTGGGTTGTTCATACTGAGCCACAGTCAAAACCCGGACGATCCCAGCTGGGTTTTGATTGGGACTCACCTCAGGGACACCAGAAGGAGGTTGGCAGCAAACCATGTTCTGTCCACGGATCTTTGCTGATGTCTGAAGGCGGAACGGATGTCAAGAAGAGTTTGTCTTTTTTCAGGGGACCCTTCAAATGGGTGTGTTCCTTTGGGTGTCCCGTTAAAACCATCAAAAGAGGTTACCCTCCAAAACACACCCGTATTAGAATATGTAAACATCCAGTGTAAATTACATATATATATATATATGTGTGTGTCGTCAATTTCCAAATTAGCGATGTGATGTCTAGAAAGCCCTGAGTTCCGCACAACAAGCACAGACCTCGTATGACGCATGACGTATGACGCACGACGACACGCGTTATTTCCTGAGCTATCCCACCAAAAGAAATGACCTCGCCAGGGCATGGTTGACCGTGAACAAACAAACAACATTTTATGACAAATCATGAGGCACGGAGTGCGTCTTTTTGTAAGGGCCAACCCAGCAGGCTTGCTGCTTGCGCGTGACGTCTGGTACGGAAAGCATATGTTCTGTATCCACACGTGAGAACTAGCATGTACAAGGATGATGATGGCCATGGGCAAAAGCACAATCTGTCTTCTCATGCTAGGATCAGCTGCTGTTACCTGGGTTAATGGGGGTTAGTCAAGATGGGAGGATATCGAACTCGAAACAAGTGGCACCAACGCCTCCGCAGCCAATTCACGAGTCCGACGGGTGCCCCAAAGGGAAGTCCCTGCAGCGCGCCCAAGGCGAGATGTGCTGAAGCTGTGTCGCTGGCTGTTTGGGGCTCGACGTTTCGCTCAGTCTGGGAGAGTCCGGCCGTCGTTTATCGCAGTGGTTAGTGGTGTCTTCTCATTTTCCCGCTTGGTTGCCTGTGCACGTGGTAAGGATTGCAAGCACATGCCGTGTAAAGATGGCCAGCATTGAAAGGGAGCCTGCTGCTTTCTTGTGAAGCGAGTTGGGCGCTGGCGCTCTGAACCGTCTTGAGCCAAGGCTAAAGCTAGAGTCCGGCCGTCTTGAGCCTTGAATGTTGGCGGACTCCAGATGAGAAGCGCCTTTGCTAGATGGAAAGCGTTTGCGCGGGTTTTACGCTTGGGATTCAACCATGAGGATAGGTGAGTCGGCAGATTTGTGGATTTGTGTAATACTTGTCGGTTGTGATGTCGTTCACTGCGTGCGGCAGGAGTTCTTGCTGTTGTTGTGGTTATGTTTGTTTTTGGCAGGAGCTGACACGGAGATTTGTCCAGCCCAGGTCCAGAGGTGTTGCAGGTCGGGCTGAGAGCACGAAAACCCCACTGATTCATCCTAGTTGGTTCCTTTCAAGCAGGAACGAGAAGATAACACATCAGAGTTTGACCTTTGTGGGCAAGCAAATGAATGATCTGAATCTAAACAGTAGCATCGGAGTATTGATGCAATCGGGAAGGTGTCAAAGCAAGTTCGACATCGACAAATGATTGTTCGGGCACTTGATAACTTCCTTGCAGGAAGAAACTGTCAGAAGCTAAGTTCTGATAGACGCACACGCGCATTCAAATGGCCAGGACCTCCCAAATCGAGAAAGAGGAAAGGGTCGCCGCCTCGAGCACTTGTGTCAGGGGTGATTGCTGGCGGAAGGGAAGGCGTCAGACGGAACTGAGAGTGAACTGAGTGCATGCAATGACAGGAAAGGGCATGGATAGTGCAAATCGAAGAAAAGGGCAGAATTTAGAAAGGAGAGTGCCCTCCATCAAGACGTTGGCGCTGCAAGTTCCCCTGGTCAAGGCAACATGCTGCTTCCGTCGGCGCAAAGCTACTAATTGTTTCAGACGAGAGCAAGCCAAGCAGCTGGCCATGAGTTACTTTCTCCCAACTTGCCAACTGAGACATGCAAATAGGACTTGCCAACTAAGACATGCAAACAGGCACATCCTTGTTGGCATTTTTGGCCTGATCATCATTTCCCATTGAGCATACACATGATGGTTTGGAACCCCACTGTGACTAACGCCTGGCCGCGTTCTCTGAAATTTCTACGGAAAACGTTGCCTAGGACTCTTCGTGTCTTGCTTTTGTCAGGTCAGATGTGAGGATCCACTGCATCCACCAACCAAATCCGTCGCTTGGGCCTAGGTCATTGTGGAAGCCTTTGAGAAAGACAAAGCCCGCAAGCGCCGGCCTCGGGACGGCTGGTTGAACGAGGCCGGTGGTGCCATTTCGCGAAACCTCCGTCTGATATGGGTCGTGGAGGGGAACGTGGGAATCACGGACCTTGACGGTGAGTTGGTTTTTGTTTGGTCTTAAGGAATCCAAAAGGCTACACGTGGACTCCGCGGGTTGTCCGTTGACCTGCCTGTAAGGGGATTCTGCTTTCGAGCCCAACCTGCAGTGTTCTTCGCATAGATGTGTTCGAAAGGAGGAGTAAGCAACATTTGCTGGAAGCCTGTTTGAATTCCACCTCTGAGGTTGCATGCAGAGGGCATGTAGACTGCCAAGGCACAGTTATACTGTGAGATGAGATTGAGTCCTGCCCGCTTTAAACGTTGGAGCTTGCTTGATGCATTTAGCGAGACGTGTGAGCCAAAGAGCAAGTTAGCCAAGATGTGTTCTGCTTTCTTTGTTGCCTGTACCACTTGTAACTTTGCTAAAACTGGCAGCTGCGTTGCCCTACGAGCAACCAGCGCAAGATTTGCGCCCTCCAGACAAGATAGCATATCTCGAAACTCAATGGTCCTACCAAATGAGAGGTGTCAGAGGTTTTATTGTTCTTTGTTCACACCCCAAAATGATGGTTCCGCAACTGGTCAAACATCATTCTCCGGCTCTCTTGGAAGCGTTGGAGCACCGAGATACGGGCACGCGCTGCCCGCGCCCGATGCATTTGAATCATTTGAGTCTGAGGGCCAAGCTTCGGCGACAAGAGAAGAGGGAGCGGGAAGAGAGGCGCGGGGCATTTCACGTCAGTCCACCGGAAGGGCCCTCCCATGAAAGAAAGGGCATCGAGCTCATGGCCCGCGCTAAGCGGCGAGCGAGCGAATCACCGAGGGTCGTGCACTTCCAAAACAGTTGAAGCAGCTTGCAAGGATTGAGGGACCGCATGGAGGATTGATTCATTGGTGCCCTTCTATTGTGGGTGTGCTTTTGAAACTGTGGGCCCTCAAGATTGGTGGTTTTGCTTTTGTTCTTTTGCAAAAGCTCCCCAATTCGGGTACCGTCGAAAAAGAGGACCCTTTTGTTTCCTGTCCCTTTGATGCTTGAGTGCACAATGTTTTGCGAGGCGCCGAGCATCGCGGGGAGCATCTGTAGTGGAGGAGGCAGGGCTCAAAGACCCGAAAAGGGTTTGCTTTGCGCCACAGGGTTGTGGGATCACTCAGGGTTTATCCAACAACTTCTGTGATACTTTTGGGAATCCCCTCTTTTAGAGTGGGGGTTGGTCTTTGAAAGGCCCTTTTTGTGGTATCACAGAAGTGGATTCCATTTCCCACAGCCCTGCTCTGCGCTGTTATGAGTTTCCGAAACCAGATTGGGACATTGGGCATTCTGTAGCAGTAGCAGCCAATGGCAGCCCCTTTGGAATGTGACTAATGTTTTGTGTGCTGGTGGTAATATACCCTATGCTTGTATGGACGCAGGTGGCAAGTTGCCCGGACAAGAGAAAACAAGCTGCTTGTGTTCAGAAACGATGTTGGGTCACTTGGCGACTGGCCGGTTCGGTTCACCAGCTCTCATTATTTGTTTCACCCGTGCAAGATGAGTTTTATTCCCACGACCTCCGGCTACTGGGCTACTGGGTTTATGGCGCTGCGGGCAAGCGTTCATTTCGGGAGCTCCAAAGTCGACGCATTCCCTGCATTAAGGTGGCAGTAATTCGTATGTCTAGAGATCTAGCAAACGCTGCAGCACGCTGCGGGTGTTGCTGTGCATTGCCCAAACAGCAGTAGGTAGTAAACAAGCTACCTCCAATGGCAAAAACAGCAGTGAAGCCCACGTTTGCCGATTTGCAATGAAGCTCGGGGCGCATTCCGGCACCTTACCAAGTTGCAGAGGTCTGCCAATCTACACACCATTTTATCCTTGACAGGGACAGCACATGCTAAGAAGTCAGTTCAAGTATGCGGGTCAACTGGATAGGGTTGATTTGCACATGAGAGAACACACGTGGCCCTCACCCTGAACGATGGTCGAGAGAACCTTGAGTGCAGGCATATCTCCATATCGCAAGGGACCCCCGACCATTGTGTGTTTTCCGTTTGGTTGTCCTGTAAAGGTGGGGTTCCCCAAAACAAACACCCCCCCCCACCCACACACCCGGACACCTGGCGTTTCTGCCAGGCGGCAAGCCCCTCCAGGCACGGAATTAATATGTGGCTCTCCAAATGCTCGATGTTACCGTTGGTTTTCGGTGGTTAAAAGGCGGCCCTCAAACAAATTCAGCGGGTGTTTGGCATTGTCCAGGTGCTGTTTGAAGTTTGAGCCAGACTTGTGCCTCGTTGGGTCCCGCTGCTTTGCAACAAACCAGTTCAGAGTTGTTGAAGGAGGTGGTTTGGTCATGATTTGGGACCCCCCAAGCACTCCAACCCCAACACACACATGTTGATTTAGAAAGACTGAGGCTGGGAGGAGACGGTTTGGTCGGAGAGTGGGCACAGCTCCACAAGCAGTTCTAGGCAGCACATCTTATTTAGGCAAAGCAATCCGCGACCAAGCTGGAGCGTTGAAGCCTGATTCGAAGCATGAGGGGTCCGTTTCTGGGATTGTTGGGCATGTGTTGCGTCTCACCGTGGGACTTTTTTTAAAGCTAGTCCTTTGTGCAAGGACCGTTGATGTCAGCCCCTAATTACCCAGCAGTCGTCGACCTTGCAAACCTAGTGTGTCCACCCTGGGGCATTTGTTGTTGCTGCCCTATACCCTCCCTGCGCCATGATCTTGGTCAACCCTCTAATCGCGATTGAGAACCACGTAGAGAAAGGGTTTGCATTGGAACCACGTGGGCCGCCGGCGCACTCTGAAAGCCACCCACCAGAAGCCCGAACAAGCATGAACCCATGTCCATGCATCATAGAATACGTGTGTGTGTTTTTGTTTGTGTTTGTTGCCTGGTTACTACCATTTGTCGACGTTTGTGCTTTTGCTGTTTATTGCACTCACTTTTGCTTCATTTGACTGCCTCAATGCAAAGCAACCGGAACCCAATCAGTGGCGACAGCACACCCAGGCAAAAAGCGGTTTAAGCCACAGAGGGTCTCGGCGAAGAACAGTGCATTTGATGCATACATTCGAAAGGAGATGCATGTTAGAGGATTACTAAAATAGCATGTTGCAAGGCATTGTGAGTCCTTTCCTAGACATCGGTGTAGGGAGTGCCATATTTTTTCAATGAACACCTTTCACATTGTGCAATATCCAACTTCTAGATAGGTCCTTTCATGGACGTGCGGTCAATTCATGAGTCGCATTGGTAGAGTCAAGAAGAACATGAGCTTTGCATAGAAGAACCGCTCCTCGTTAGGCTTAGTTTGACTGACATCTCGCGCAAGGCTTAGCCGCAGATCCGCTTCCACCTCGGAGCTTTCTAGGTGCGGCGCTTGGGTTGTGGTGCCAATCAGACACGGGATCCGCTTCAGAGTGAAGTGGAGACCGCCCACTTCACTGCAGCAAGATGAAAGGATATTTTTCCGCGGCCATGGCCAAGACTCAAGAACTTGTCGCTGGCTGCCCACAAGAAAGATTCGGGAAAAAATCCCCGCGAATGAAATTGAGGGGTTTATACTTTTTCATGCCCTGTGTTGGCAGATTGTATTTGGATGGAGTACGGACACATCGTGATCGTATATTTTTGTGTGTGACAGGCATGCAGGATACGTCATGATGTGTCTTCACTGACAGGGCCGAGCTCCAATCATCTCAACATAAGGGGTCATCCATTTCAGTGAATCTAAATGATTGAAGCTAACCTAACCTTGAACTGGGATACCTTGATTCTATGAGCTCCACAAAAGCAAGCACATGTGCCACCGGCTCCTGATCCTATTTAAGGGTGTCAGGCAGAATGCTCAGATCGGTGCCTCGGATTTGTCACGCTGAGGAGCAGCCGAGGAGTAGAGGCGCGGATTCCAGAGGACAGGATTTTGCAAAGCAAACGAGCAGGAGCATTGTCCAAGGGACGTTTGCATCGGGGTTCTTGATGTCTGAACGGTGGCTTTTCTACCAACGATCCACCCTCTGCATTGCATGATTTCCGGAAGTCTCAGTCCAAGTCGATTTGTTCGGTGTTGTCTCAGGGTGCCTTGGATTCTAGAACTTACCCCAATGGGAGAAAGATGCTGCCTGGGCACAGACATACCTGTGGTCGGAACCAGACTCTCAGCAAAACCCGTTTGGCAAGCTTGGGCGAAAAGACCCCGCGAAATCTGTTGTCATGGACTCAACTGCTTTTGGGGTGCGAGTAGCCCCTTTTCCCAACCAAGAAACTCAGCCCTTAGCGGAGGATCTGCGGGCGATGGCGTCCTTCCCGTTGGTGGACGAGTGGTTGATGAAGATCCGAGTGCGGGAGGCCAGTTAAGCTTTTTGGGCAGACCATTGGGTAAACAAAAAGTTCGGGTCTGCTCAGGAAGTGAGTATTCTTCTTATCCATCGTTATCACCTCCTCTCCTTGTCCTCGCCGATCCTGCCGATCGATCTATCTCAGAAATAAACTCGAATCTTATCTATCCTATTCTCATCCAATGACATCTAGTGCAGTGCCTATGGGGTATGAATATATATATATATATATGTATATACAAATACAATATATATATATATATATAGATTTAATATATGTATATATATATATACATCATGTGACAGGGTCCCTATTTTTGACTCGTTGGATAACCTTCTGTCCATAGTCCACCTCCACCCGATGCCTTCGAGCTCCGGCTTCCTAAGTCAGAGCCGGTGTTGCTCTCAACTTTTGCTTCTCAAACAACTCGGTTTTCATCTGCGCGTCAACCACCGGACGGCGGATTCCATCTGCTGTTTGGTTTCGAAAATAGCGAACATCACCTGGAAAGAACACGAGCTCGCCATGAGGTGGGTCCTGTACCTTGGGATCTCTTAGCTTAGGTTTTGGAATTTGATTTCTTTTCCCGCCCCGCGCGCTCCCGCAGGTGGACGGGCGCACGCCCAAGCTGCGCTTCAGCGTGCGCGAGAACCCCGCGCACTGGGTGCCCGGCTCCAGGCGCGGGGATGTCTCGAAAGGCGCTGGAACAGCTCGAAGCGGCAGAGATGTCCTCAAGATGGGTAGAGAGTCCAGAAAGGGATTCCTCAAAGAAGTGTGTGTGTATATATATATATATATATATATATTCGTCTGTTTTAGGGAGATCTCCTCGAAATGGTTGTGTTCCTTTTGATATCCTTTTGAATCCAAAAAAAGACAAAACAAAAAGACACCCCACATGTAGGCTGTCTTTTTTGAGGGTACCGGCTTAAGAAGGGAAGCCAAAAGGAAATTAATCACAAGCCACCCATCCGATGAAGTCAGCGAACCCTGGTTGCGTATCGTGGCGGGATTCCCGGAATTCTCCAAATATACATTGCGACATGGGTCTGATGTCGATGTGTTTGCCCTGCTTCTCACTTCCGCGCGCGTACTCGCAGGATGTACATCGACTACAAGCCGGAGTTTTACCTGGAATGAGCCCAGCCCTTGCACTGCTGTCTATTGATCCGTTCCCTCTAGGGACTCAAACCAACCGACTTTGCTCGCAGTCGGAGCCTGAAACATCCATTGTGGTAGTAGTTGCTTCGAAGAGACATGCAGTATGCAGGGCTGGCGAGACGCAAGCTCACTCCATCAAGCATTTGCCAAGGTTGATCCTTGACCTGATCCAAACGGATATAGATCAAGTTCCTGAGATCGTTTGAGATTTCTCAGCAAAAAAACGATACAATTGAACTATGGCAATATCAACAATTTAAATCACGTGGGATAAAAATATTAAAGGATTAAAGGAAAACTAATAGGAATATTCGCAAAATAAATTTCGGAATATTAAAATAAATTTAATGTTAGAATAATTAAAAACATATTGGAAAATTATTAAGAATATTAGAGGATATATAAAAATAATATTGGAATAATAAATAATGGAATATCGAAGGAATAATAGGAAATTCATAAATACAATATATTAGATTGTATAAGGGTTTTGTAGATATATTATTGATTCTTTTTTTGGAGATGTATAAAATATGTTTTTTTTGTTGGTATTGTTATATTATTTTTTGGTAGTATATTGATTATATAAAATATATAGATATATATAATTGATTGGGTGAATTAACATTATTTATATTAAAATTATATATATGGTATAATTGATTTTTTATTTATAAATAGATTATATAATATTACTATTATATAAAATTATTATTATATATATTTTTGTATAAAATTAAATTAATTCTAAATATATTATTGGTTATTTTGTTTTTTATATTAATATATTATAATTTATTTTAAGATTTATGAATAGAATTTGAAATTATTTTGGTTTAAATATTGTTTTATATAATTGAATTTATTTAATTTATTTGATATTTGTGATGATGGAGATTGGATGATAGGATTTTTATGTTAAGGATTGATTTTTTTTGATTATATATAATACTATTGCTCTCTTTCTTCTTTCTTTCTTTATTTGATTATGGGTTAGATAGTTCTTTTTTGTGGTTGGGTTATTATTGATTTAGGGTTAGAGATTATGATTTAGGGTTTGGTTTGGGGTACAAATTAGGATTGGTTTGTGGTTGGAACGAATCTAGGGGATTAGGATGGGGTGGGGAATTTATATTATTTGGATATTATTACATGAAATTTGAATAGATTGTCGATCGGCAAATTTAGGAAAATATTAGATTTATTGGAAATCGACTATATATTGTTATACTTGGTATGAGGTACGATAGATATCCAAAATAGGATTTTTTTCTTAATTTATAATTGAATTCATAATTGTTTGCCTTGCACAACCACTTTTAGGGACCCTTCTTGTCCCGCTAATAAAGAACCCGCTCCGAATAATTAACATAACTATAACACGATCCCATGGGTGAATCAGCTGCCTTGCATTTCATTAACATAATACAAGAAGAATCTTTCCAATAAATCTCTTTGTTTTTTTATAATTTGCAAAAATTTATGTTCGTTCCTTTTAATTTTCGTATAATTCCTTTCATATCCATTTCATTCATTTCCAATCATTCCTATTTCCTTATATATCTATTTCGATTTCTCCAATTTTTAGCATCCTCCAACACAGATAGCATTATTCATATCATCCATATCATCCGCATCATCCGGGATGATGATAACAATGCCAGGGAGATTATCCTAGGCATTTTCCAAAATAATTATTCTTGGACTTATTTTTGGACGCCATGACCACAAATCCTTCGTTCCTTATAGGGGCGGACCCAACACAAAACATATATTTATATTCTACGCATGCTCGGAGCACAATCGACTCCTGGTCGATATCACGGGGCGGATAGCCTTATACCTAAAGGTAGCCCTCCGGGCCCAATCATCCCCGATAGCCGAATTATTTAAATTTGGTATTTCGTTTCTAATTTTGAAATATATAAATTATAAAAAACTAGAATAAATTTAAAATATATTAGTTAAGTAATAAAATACAATATATTTATGATTAAATGGATTATGTTTTAAATAGTAATATGATTAATAGCAATCATTAAGAAATAATATATATCAAGCATAATTTTATATTAGTATTTATTTTCACAAATATTATTAAGAATTATATATTTTTTTTTTTAAATTATTTTTAAACTTAATTAAAATAAATAAATACATTTCAATATTTAAATAATCAATTATTAATTACATATATGTAAAATAATTCTTTATATATATAAATTAATCATTATTAAAATAATTATATAATAATCTTTATACATATTTAAATTATCATATTGTTTTATTCTTCCTAATCTTAAATTCCTTTCCTTAATCGAATCCAATTCATCAATTTCCAAATCATTTCAATTTTATATTCTAAATTAAACAATATATATATATAATGTTAGAAATATCTAAATATATTTTAGTGTATTTTTTTAAATGTCTTTATATATGCCTTATATATTTATATATTTCCTTATATTATTTTTACAATTCTAATTCTTAATTATTATTCAAAACATATATATATTAAACTAATTATATTTAATTTAAATATCTATATCAATACCTCATATCCCCCCCCAAACATCTCGAAATTAATATATCATTTTATAAATTAATAATTTAACATATATTTACATATTTTAATTAATCAAACAACAATTACAATATATATATATTGTAATATTTCAATATATATAGTTTTGTTTATATTTTTAAAAGCCATATTTATTATTATTATTTTAACCAATTAATTATATCTGTTTTGCAAGGATATTATTCATGCGTTCTCAGGATTTCTGAGCCAGCGATCTTCTTCTGGTTCAGATTCCCCAAAATAATCCTGGGAAATTGCTGCTGTATTCATGTGTCGTATGGTGTCTGACCAGCCTTCCAATCTCCATCTTCAAAGCAATGGTGATGCATCCACCAGGCATCCTGCGAAGCCCACTTCCAAGCCACCAAAGCTCAATCAAGGCCATCAGGGTGTCCTCCCCAAGTCCTTCAAACCTCAATCCAGCTGCCACACATTATCCAACTCAGACATGTCCTGTGCATTACACTCCAGGTGTGTGCCAGACATGTTCCAACTCAAACATGTCATGTCGGGTTCATTGATTGGCAAAAAGCTTGGGCCAAATCACGAGGTCTATGTGTCTGAGTTGCCAGCTCTTCTTTGGTGCATCGGACCTTCCCGAAGGAGTCCTTGGGCGCCTGCAGTGGTCCAGTCTCGTCTTGCGAGCGAGCGCATAGGAACCCACTGATGCACCCCTGGTTGATCAGTAGGAAGTGTCCCCTTTGAGGCCTTCACTTCTTGGGTAAAGACTCCCCTCAAGAGTCCACCAGGGTAATGTTATCCGTGGCATGATTTGGCTTGGGCCCTGTTTGTCTCTAAATGCAGCAATCTCTACCCACAACGGAGACCCTCAAACAAATACACGTATATGACACAGATTCAAAGAAGCAACGGGCAGCCTATCCTGAGCCCGGCGCTCGTTTCATGCAGCGCCAGCAAATGGCTTCGTTACACCCGGCTATGCGACCATCCGTCCTGCACAAGATGCAGTCCCCAGAATTCCGAGCACACACGCGCACACACACACACACGCACACACGCACAATTCTCTCTCTTGTCTCTCTCTCTCTCTCTATATATATATATATATATACAGACTGCAAAAAAAACATTCAATCATGCATGTACAAAATGCAATATTGTCCACTCCCTGCAAATGATGGGCAGGTGACCGCGTGGCTTCCCACAGCAAATGACAAAGACTGACTAGTGGGGCTCGACGGCTGCTCCCAGCCTTCTTCTCCTGCAGAATATACCTCGCTGGTCCTGGCTTGCTGTGAGGCATCAGTCTGGAATGCTTTCCATGTCGTGCTCCAAGCAAATTGCGACTGATGATGACTCAGCATTGACCCTGAGCACCGACCCTGAGCCCTGTTCCACTATGCCATCCTAGAATACCAATTCTTGGCTCATCTTTGTAAACAATGACATTTAAGAATGTAGGTCCTGACCAACCATGATGCTAATGCCTGGCCTCCGCTTGAGGCTTGCCACACAAACGGCAAACATCACCAGCTGTCCTTAGCCGCAGAAAGTGCGGTGGTGCGCTCAGAACAACTCCTTGGGACCCCGACATCCATGCGGGCCCTGGAGGTGGCTCGGGAACGGAATTGGAACAAACCTGCCATACACCAACACAACTCACATGCATCTCTGTCGCATGTTTCTGCCGCATGTTTCTGTCTATCTCTGTGCAAGTGCATGTGTGCCTGCGTAGGTGTGTGGGCATATGTACGTGTGTGTGTGTGTTGGTTGTGGGTAGTGCACAAGACAACCGAACCAGGTCTGAAGGCTTGAAACCCGTCTCCGACAATCTGACCTCCAGCCACTTGTGCTTGCGCCTCCAGTGCCCTGTTGACGAGGTCCGGCTTCTCAAACAGGTCTGCGTGCGAAGTGTTGTGCCTGCCAATGGTTTTGGCTATCTCAAGAGTGAGTGCCAACTCCATGTCGTGTCATTTCCAAGAGCATGTTTTGGGTCTTTCAAAGAGACCCAAAGGTAGACCGGCCCCATGTTGGGTGAGTTCTCTCATGAGAGACATACGAGCTTTTCTCAAGGAAAATAAACTACCGAAATGGTTGGTCACCTTTTAGCCAAAACGCGCTTAGCAAGAGGGTCGCTGAGGCAAGAGCCTGTCGAGGTAGGCCTTCAACTCCTTGACCTCAAAATCTCGTTCGTTTCTTTGTGGGATCTCAACAAATGGTTGGTGTCTGTTTAAATCAAGTGGGTTGAACAAAGACACCATCAAGTCTGATCTAGACTTCTGATCTAGACTTTGGACAGTTGCTTCCAAGTGAGTCCCTGGCCGACATCTTCTTGACACGCTCCTTCTCGGCTTCAATTGGATCCTTCTTGGCTTCAGTCTCCTGAAGGCAACAGGCGGGGACTCTGTCCGTTTTGTGGGCCCTGCCTTGGGCTTCTCGCTTTCCTGAGGCCAACAGTGCGAGCGAGACGTGATGCTCGGCCCCCTGTGGAAACAAGTGGGCGTCTCCCTCAATGGGGCGCCCCCAAATCTTGCACGTTGGAAGGGGAGCAAAAATTGTCAAATTTTGGCAGTTAGCTCACTAAACCACAATAAGCAAACATGTAGGCTGTTTCCCATGTGAAATGGTTGCCTTTTGGTGTCCCTTTGAAAACAGCCAAGCAGACCTTATTCACTCGAGCCTTCGCAGCGGCATCTGCAGCGTCTGCGGCGGCCTGTGCATCGGCGAGCTCCTCAAAGAGTCGGAACCTGTGGTACTTGATTGGTTGATTAACGAACATGTAGCAACCCATATTCAAAACCCACACACAATCACTCATCTCACCTTACCTCGCCTCGCCTCTCCACTCCACTTCTCTCCCTTGACTGAAACTCCCTCTCCCTCCCTCTCTCTTTCTCCATCCCAGTTTCTCTGTTTCTCTCGCTCCTTCTCGCCACCAAAGTACGCGCGCAGGTCTGAGGGCTGCATACATCTGACAGAATTGTCTGAACGCATACTTGCACGTGGGCATGTGAAACTGGCAAGGAAGGACACATGGATGTGTCTTGCCAAAAACAACATGCCCACGCTCCGAACTGCCTCTCGTGCATCCACCATGCATCATCCTCCAAAGACTCGAACTCTTCTTTGGTCCTGCCATGAGAAAACTGGCACAGTTGACACTTCAACTTGGCAAATTGCCAGCATGCTGCAACAAGCCAGCAGCTCGTTCGCACCTGAAAGGCAGCTTGTGAATAATTGACCGCGACATTTGAGAGCACCCGCCCAAATAAGCACATAAACCCGCTGTAAATGATGTCAAAGGGCACCCGAACTCAAATTCACCGATTTTTTGAAAAGCAATGAGGGCTCAGGCTGGAACCATTCCGAAGGAAGAGCGTGGCTGCGTACCCATGCAAGCCTCAGCCAACCGATGCTTTGCCAACGTCCTGGAGTCCGAGAAAAGAATCAACAATCTCGCTGCTCCCCATGACCATCGTAGTAGATAACCAGGGTGTCTTAAGTCTAGGTATACCTACAACATATCTTGATCTAGATAAAGTGGTCACTGAAAGCACCGGGCAAAGTAGCTAAGCTTCACTCCATGTCTCACATCTTCTCTGCACATCCTCTGCCTCTCTCTCTTGATGCTTTGATGCAAAGGCTTCTGAATGGCTTCTGAGGCAGCCACCCAACACACTCCCTTCCTGCATCCGCCGACCGCGTTCTTTGCTTTTCGCCGTCGGCAAATCTGCAGACGGGCACGCAAACAAACGGATGTGCTGGGAGCGTGAAAAGAACGAGCCATCTCAACTTGGTTGTCTCAGCCGGGTGAATATTTATTGATAGTAATTCACCCGTCGACAACAAGACATCTCTATGCAAAGGACCTTCATGGGTGAGGCCACAACCCCCCCTTGGAAGGTTGCGATTATCTACCCAAATCTCATGTTGGCCCAGCTCTGAAAGGGTTCTGGATCAACCAAGGATCACAAAACCACTTTTCTCTGGAAGGGGGTTCTTAGGATTGACACCGTTCATGCTCATCCATCTCATGCTGCGCAAGCCGCAAGCCCGCGCGGACAGCTGAGGCGATGGCTACACCATGGGGTAGTCCCTCTTTGCCGGCATCACCACAAATACTGCCTCAGCGTACTCTGCGAACCAAATCAGAAGACGCAGCTCGGCACTCACTGAGCCAACACCCAGTAAAAGTTCCATCTTGAATCCCTCCTTACTTCAGCATTGTCCCTTCATATCCGCACCTATTTCTGGCAAGCAGACTGTCCCCTAATAGGGTTGCTCCGAAAAGCCTGGTACGAAGGTGGGCATTGGTCCCTGGCAGAGGACAACCACACACCGAGCCATTTTTCCAGGGCTTGATCATCTAGAGGCTAGCATGTGGCTCGGCTCTGCACAGGAAAGGAGCCCAAGTCTTGGTTCAAAAGCTGGGTTGGGCCAATCCCTTCTCTCAACATTCTTGAAAACGCTGCTGTTTCAACCCTTCAATTTCTGGGCCTTTTCCACTTTTCAGCATCCCCCCCATAGGTGTCCTTTTAGGGCAAATAGATGGCCCTGGTGGATGATTGATGACTGAACCACCAGGTAACCCGGGGGCTCACTCCTCTCTACTCCACCAATCAGCTGGCCTAGCGCTGGGGGCATGGCAGGGAGCACCAGCCCGCAGCCAGGCGGGCCACTCCAGCACCTCCCGTGCGCTCGCTTGGCCGTTGGCCGTAACCAGCCTACAGGAACGTCTTGCTCGCCAGACCCCGAAAGAAGGGATTTGGCCGCAAGCGGCGCTTGGCTGGGCCGAGAACCAGCCAGACACGCCTAAAAAATGGATTTACTGCAGGTCCTATAGGCTTTTGTTTTCTTGGAGATCTAAAGCTGCCAATTGTGAGAATAAAGTTTATAACCTCATGATACCAAACAGAGGCGGACAAGGAGTTGTAGTTCCAATTTATCTCTTCTTCCTCGGAGAGAATTGCACAAGGAGCTCTATTTCCCCCCGTTCCTGCCACAAATGTCCAATATTTCTCTCCTTCTTTCTGGGGGAAAAAAACCGCACCAACACCCAGGGAATATCTCGGGGCCTTCCCGAAAGAAAGGATCCAGCTTCTGCCAAATTCCCCTTTCATGGATTCCCAGGGGAGTCTTGGGCTCTGGTACACTCCATCAAGTGATTTATGGTCGGAGCAAAGGGGTCTGACTTCCTTTGTTGCAGTATCTTGCAGTGAGGAGCACACGTCAAGGATAGCGAACGGGGGTCCTTTCGCCACTTCTCTCCAGATTTGCCCAGTGCAAGCGCATTTCCTGAGCAGTTGGTCAAGCAAAGCAGCCACACTTTCTGCTTACCGCCAACGCGGTCTTCCCAAAGAGCGCATCCTTGGAAGTGAGATGTTCTTGGGAGGCAGAACCACTAAATATCTGAGTTTTCATGAAGATCAGCTTCAAACATGGCAACTAAAACTCATGACCACACCAAACTCACATAGGTTCGTCTTTCAAAGGTATAGTGCAACCCACTTCCAGGCACGTTTTGGGCTTAGGATCTCCAAGTCCCCCCCAGCCCTTCAGCCACCTCCGGCTTTTCTGGCACGGGTCTCACCTGAAGGATGGGAATGTGGGGCCGTCATTGAGCGAATCCTTGACTTGGGGGGGGAGGGAAACATCACCTTCTGCAACGCTTGATCTGAAATGAAAGGCACCCCAAACAGGGTTTCAAATGCACGTTCATCTTGGAATTGGGGGGTGCCTGTAGCTCCCATAAGATAGAACCCATCCCCTTGCGCCAGAGTTTGTGCTGCAAGAAAGCTGCCAAGGAAACTCACCAGTAGAAGCGAGTGCAACGCCGCCCACTTCTGGCTAAAACAGCTTGTCAAACTGATAATGAGACAACCACATGAGAATCACAAAGTGCATTTGTTAACCTATATGTGTCTTTTTTTCGGGGTCCCCGAAAAAAAAGAGAGTAAAAAGTGTGGCTTTCCTCCTGGGTTCCTTGAAAAACCACAACAACGGGTACCCTGAAAAAGACGAGCCACCCGTATGTATAAAGAACACCTTAAACAGCCGGTTTTTCTTGTGTCTCAAACTCGTCTGGACTGGGCTGCAAAAAATGGGAACCCGGACATGGGTTGAAGGTGTCCTTTTTCAAGCTGTATGGTTGGTTTCAACAATGGTTGGTGTCCTCCAAATATGGTTGGCATCCCTTAAAAACCAACCAACAAAGGATTCCAACCAAAAAGGACACACCATGGCTGTGAATTTTAAGAGTTGGAACCACCACCCACTTTGTGGTTGGTGGACTTTGTCCTCATCCCCGAAGTCTGATGTCCACCATGGGCCACCTCTGAAAATTTGAAGATTTGAAAAAATCACACCCTAATGGTGCTTCTTGTTGGCTTGCCCTGTTCAACCCGCCAAGGACCTCCCAACAAACCACGCAGCCTGCGCCTGTGGCTGCATGGCAGCGTGCGGCCTCAGAACACCCTCGAGTCGCGTCTGTGCATGGGGGGTATGTCCCAAACATGGGAGAACAACTCCCCTGGGAACAGGAGGAACCCTAACACTTTCGCCCAAGAAAGTGCCACATATCGTTTTCCTAAAAGCCAAAAACAGTTTTGCAGAACACTCCGCTGAAAGGCCTCTTGTCCATGATTGCTGGAAACAGATGGAAATAACCGGTGTTCGCTTTATCCTTTGCCACCTGCTTTCCAGGAATGAAAGGGACTTGACTTGGGCGTCTGAAAAAGGATCTGGGATCCCACACATGACTGGATTTTTTCTGGTTTCCCTTCAACACAAACTCAAACAGAAACGACCCTGCAATGCAACACCATCACATGTGCATGATTCTTTAACATGTCAGCTCCTGTGTACAGGGGCACGACCCGGTGCCGTACTTTTGGAAGGCGGTAACGGAAATCAACGACACGGCAGTCGGGGTAACACCAGTCTATGCAAGATCTCAGTGAAGGGTTCCATCCAAGGACCGGGCATCATCCCCGGCATCATGCCAGGCATGCCCGGCATCATTGCCGGCATGCCTGGCATGCCTGGCATGCCCGGCATGCCCGGCATGCCCGGGATCATTCCCGGCATGCCCGGGATCATTCCCGGCATCATTGCTGCACCTTAGCTCACTTGGCAGAACCCCAACAATGAGTGGTTTCCTTTTGGTTTCCCTTTCAGAAGGGTACCGTCAGTACACCCACACCCACATTGGTGATAACCAACTTTGTCCAACTTTGAGACTCTGTCATAATCTGCATTCCTTCCTTCTGTCTCCATGCGTTCTTTCTCTGCCTAGCACAAAACCCGAAGCGCGTCCGGTGCTTTTGCCCAGGGCAAGTCGAGCTCCATTGCAACTGAGCACTTTGGCTCATTGCACTTGGATTTCACGTCGGATGCTTGACGCCAAATCGACGACACATCGTGCGCGTCCATGTTCAGCCTGAGGATTGTGCAATGAACCAAGTCACCAACACACAAACGACACACGCATATACAAACCTGGACACTGGGATCCAAGAAAGAACAATCACACCTGAACATGTGAGCGGAGACAGCACGCATCGAAGGCATTCCAACACGTTGGGCAGTCGTTGAAAGGCCTTGGCACTGTATGAAATTAATGCTCGTACATGGAATTGACACGTTCCAGCAATGATGTATGATGCTTGAAACGTGTAGCTGCAACAAACGAAGCAAGGGAGTTGAACATGCACGACATGCATGTGTCTATTGCCAGCATGTACGTGCTTGTGTTTGTGAACTGCTTACCAGGCACTTGCGATCACATAGTAAGATCTACCATGCAAAACCGGATTCAAAGGTTCTTTCTGCAGGGTTGGCAATAACATACTGCGTTGTTGGCTGGGTCAAACACCTTTGCTGCGGCTCAGTTTTGGCTCAATTCCACAGGGTGCCAAAATCAAATTTTCACATTTATGCTGTTGATACTGTGACGCTGCTAACAACACATTCTTAGTTTTCAAGCAGATGCATTGTTCAAACGTTCAAACAGGTGCTACTTGCTGACTCTTTGTTGCCCAGAAGGCAGCATGCAAAGTGCGTCAGATACATGAAGCCCCCAGTGATGCAGCATGGTCTTGACCCAAGACAAGGCTTCTTCACAACAGTCTCCGTGGGCGTGCTTCTACTTGAAGGGAGGCCTTCTATTTTGAGTGTATTGCGTTTGACTGCAGTGCGTCCTTCTCCATGAACAACTCCCCCCTCCCCCCCCAATTTTCGACCCCGGGCGTCTAGAACAAGGGCTGAGACTCAGCGTGGTTGGATTGGCATTGTTATGTCTGTTTCCAACATCAGCAAACACCATACAGCCTCACACGACAACAGCATGGCTGTGACATTCCCTCACACCACATCTTGATCTCCGACAGAACGCAAGCAAGAGCAAGTATGATTATGCAAGGGTCGGGATCTATTCAGTTTTGTCCCTTCACATATGCCGAGTTTCTTTCTGTAAACACCCGCGCAAAATGGCTTCTCCACATCGAGCAGGCTAGCGGTAGACGTAGCCCTGCACAGGCTCGCTTCCGCGCCGAAGCCCCATGTTTCATTTGGATGCTATTCCTTGTGTGCAACCCCGAATTAAAAAAAGGCTTCCCTACAAACAGGGAACCATGCACTTGTGAGATTTTCAAACCACATCTGCGTGCTTTAACGTTGAATACATCGTCCACCAGCAAGGACCAACCTCCCGTCAGCCTCAGCTTAGCTTCACCGGGGCCGGTGAAGCTCTTTGCCGCGGCCGAGGCTGGCAGTCCGTGGAAAACACAGGGGACACCAAAAAAGCAAAAGAATAAAAAGGGGAACTAATTCTGAAGAGCATAGATTCATTCTTACCTTTGGAAAGCTACGGTGAGTCTTTGTGTTGATGTTGAGTTTGCATGGTGTAGTTGTCGCGGCATGTTGGATTGAATATAATTGATCCCTCCATGCAATGTTGGATACCGGCATACGGTATGCAAAGCCGTCGCAAATCAATGATCATCAATGGAGGATACAATCCACTCAAGATTGCGGCGATATCATGATCTTACTGTCAGGGGTTCTGCGAGTGAGCAGGCATGTCTTTGCCCCATTAGGATCCGTAGCATGCATAAAAGGGACACACAATCGCTAAGCCTCATGGCGAGTCAGCCAGAATCAATGCATCCTTCGCCCAGTTCTCAGGTATCCATCGCTGGCCTCCAGACGCATCACGCCACTCAACTAACCCAGTAGCCCAGCGGTGGGGAAAGGTGGGGATCGACGAGATACCAAACAGAAAGGGGGGGTTTATGGGTGACATCCACGGGGAGGAGTGTGAGTCTCATAAGGTTGGATCCTGCATGGGAGGAAAACAAAAACCACATGGGCCACGCTTCACTCAACCGCCAACTCCATCCAACTCCAAAACGGGCGTTGACAGAAGCCGCCATCGACACTCACCTCATGTCTCGAAATCGAAAGCTTCAACTGTTCCCCCTCCAAGTCAAACCCTTTCCAACCCTTGGTCCGGTAGCAACAAACCTTTGTTGATCCCTGCGGACCCCTACCAAAACTAAACAGAACCAACAACCAAGAAACTTACAACTTGCAGAACCTTCCCAAAAACCTTCCGAACCCCGGATTTTCCCATGCCTGCGGAGCTGCCGGGTAGTTGGGGTAGCTGGGGTAGTTCGCAGCCGGGTAGGTGGCCGGGTATCCCGGGTAGGCAAAAGTTGGCGCCGTTGCCGCGGGCGCCTGGGGCTGTGGGCGGCCCTGAGGCAACAAAGGGTGGCGCATTTGCTTTTTGGGCTGGTACCCCTCTTTTCTGGTAAAAGACAAACCGCCCGCAGGGGTTCAACCTGAATGACCCCCCCCCTCTCCCCCCCAAATGGGGGGGGGGGGGGGAATAGAATCAAAGATGGCACGCGTCGCTCCTTAGGGTGGCCGCGGCCCTGTCTAAAGTTGAAACAATTCTATATATGGGTTTTCCGTATGGGTCAACTGGTTCACCAGACTTGCCCCTCAAACACTTCTCCAGGTAGCTAATGTGCATCCTCTTGCCACATGGAAGTGGACAGGTCTTGCATGAGAATACTATTCTTCGAACACCCTCCTGTCAGCTGCCATAATTCTTGAAAAGAGGTCTAACATCATGGTCAATTCAACACCGTCACATAAAGTTTGAGAGTAGAACGACTACATGGAGAATTCAGTGCAGCATTTAAGATGGGTCAAGTTCTGCTGCAGAAACAAAACGGAATCCCTGCATTCACAGTGTGCGAGCATTCCCTTTACATGCACAGCTGGGCACACATGCCGAACAAAGATGCTCGCCCGGGGGAATCTCAAAATCATCACAGTCTCAAACGACACGAATACGAAGATTGCGAGACTGTTCCAATTGGAGTGACCTTCTTTGGGTGTGCCAGGAACAAGTTGTTCTAACTTCTGTGTCTCGGCTTAGTGTGTTTTGCTCACAGGTTCCACACATACACACACATATATATATATATATATATAATCTTAGTTTGATCAGACGCAATTGTTGACTGGATGTATGTTGTTTTTTCTTTTTCTGATGGGAAACATGACTTGCGGCCAAGGATGGCTTGCTGTGTGAACCAACCCGTGCCTCGGAATGACCATGGTGCTTTTTGGTTCCTGCTGGTTTCCTGTTGGCTTCTTTGTAAAGCCAGGGGTTCACAATTTTGCGTCAGACCCGTCTGGGTAGTCTAACTAGGTGACAAAACAGACTTTGTCTTGACCTTTTTGAAGATTGACCGCACAGGGCAAGCTCGTCTTGGCCAGCAGCTCATGAACCACTTTGCGCCATGTGCCGAAGGATGAGTCGGCCAGTCTGGTACACTGAGACCTCAATTCCCTCAGGCGCCTGCACCAAAGGCGCTTCTTCAGCCTCAGGCAATCGAGGCGACTGGGTCCTGTGCTTTGCGCATCCAGAACCAACGGCCAATGACGGGCAATCTCAATTCCCGACTGGTTTGGCCAAACAAAAGTCCGAACACTTGCTGTTTACCACTAACATGGTCTTCCCCAAACTTGTTGTTTACCACTCAAATGCTTCAGATCCCAACAGTGTACAGTCCGAAACGGAACTCAGGGAGTGAGCTCACTTCATCCGGTGCCTGAGGCCCCCTCTGGGGCTGCACGGGTCAGGTGTCGCAAGGAGCAAAACATCAGACACATCTTGCCATGTTCCAATGTTCAAAAACGACGAAAACGCAGCTCAACGACCTTTGGACCATAGGTGTCCTTTTGGAAATATCGATGGCTTCCCTTAGTAAATGGATGCGATGAAAACCAATCTAAACCAGTGGGACCCATCTATTTCGAGTCAAAACTCACCGACCAACACAGGGATCCTTACATTATACACCTGAACATTGCCTTGTAAATGGTGGTGTCCCTGTATTTTGGTAGAAAAAGCCACGTTTCAAATGGTTGCAACATGTATCTTTTAAGAAGCCCTGCAAAAGGACGCCTATGCTTGTCTCTCAGATCCAAGAGGTGTGCAGAACAAGCCCCGGGCCCTTGAGGCTTGCTTCTCCACATCCCGTGCGCCCACCTGGCCGAGCGAACAACCGTGACACCGGGGAAAGGAGTCCGGAGTCTACATGACTTCCGTTTGCTTAAGCCCCCTGGAAAAAAAAACCACAACATATGTCCAATAGAGATAGATTCCCTTTAAAATCAACAGGGCAAAATAACAAATATTCTTCAGCAAATGGTTGATGAGTCTACACAGAAAGCCTAACATCTAAGCTGGCTTCCACCACCCTCAAACCACTACCCACAGAAATGGAATGGGATATACAGCCACTATATGGCCGTAAGGGTATCTATCCCAATTTGGTGTGGGGGTAGTGGTTGGGGCTGGTGGAACTCATAGAAAAAGGACACAGATCCACACCGGTGGCTGGGATCCCCAATTTTCACCCCGGGCTCAAGTCGAGTGTGGCTCAGAGAAAGCGACTTGAGCCTTTTAGCGGGGCCTGGGACTCGGCAGGGACATGGGACTGCTTTCCTTGGCTCCTGCCTTTGGGGGTTGCTTCAGGAAAGGGGTCCGGCCATTTGGAGACACACATGGGTAAGCCGATTGCCTGTTGGTTCCATCGCGCGAGCTCGGCCAAGCCCAAGCTGACCTTTGCCAACCCCGCTTGGTGTGCATTCAGGAGAGAACCCCCCCCCCCCGCCTTATGGATGAACCTTGACAGCAAAGGGACATCTTGAAATCTGCCTCTCCATATGCCCCCCCAAATGGTGAGCAAGCCGTGTTGATTTGCAGGGGGAGCGACAAATGGATGGCTTCCCTTCAATCAACACCAAAAGGAATACCCCCCCAAAGCCACTAATCAGCAAGTGTAACAAGAACTTACCGCAACGAATTCAGTGTGCTTTCTTTGAGAATATATGGGCTGTGCATGGAAAAGGCTGAGACAAAGCTAGAACCCAGGGGAACTTGGGAATAGACGTGGGCAGAAACCGTTGCCGTTTGTGCAGGTCTTCGTCTCTCATGTGTGCAACCCACCATTGGGTCACGTCTGAATGTCTCACGGCGATCCCGACCCCTGGAGCAAGTAGCAAGTGATGAACTCTCTACGGACTGGCGGGGCTCGACCATCAAAAGGGATTGTGATCCCTCTGCGGACTTGAAGACTTGGGGTTCAACACTTGGCGGACCCCAACCAACCAAGTGACCAACCAACGAATGAGCTGACCGGAGTCAGCGAGTAGAAGTCGATCTGGCGAATTGATGGTAGAGGAATCCCATGTTCAGAAAAGCGGACCCCCTGTTTTCTTTTTGGCAAGCCATACGATTTTGCAGGGGAGTACCAAATAAAATGGAAGCCTAGCCCTAAAAGAAACACCTTGCAAACAACAACGGCAGCCAAAAACACCAATCATTGTAGAGGAATCTCCTGTTGGGAGTTGGACCCCCTGTCCTGGCAAGTTATGTCAATCTGCAGTGAAGTAGCGAATGGATCAAAAGGAATATTCCCTTACGGTTGTATACATGGGCAACCAATATTATTTGCAGCTCCCGCCCCCCAAGTGGGTGTCCCTCTGGTTTCCCCGCAAAACAAAGAACATGAATACCCTCCTTCCCATGGAAGTGTCTAGGAAAACAGTTTTCCAAAACAACAATCCCATCATTAGCTTCTACGATTGGAGGGATTGGAGGGTACCGGCCTTGGAGGAACGCTTTGACTTCTTGCCGCCACTGCAGCCTGGATGAGCTGTTCAGGCAGGAAATGCACCCTTCCAGTGAACCTTTTGCGAAAAACCCAATGGGCTTTTGCCAAACCGCGAACGGGCCTCTCCAAAAACTCAAAGCACATAGGGCGATGTTCTTCTGAGAGCAGAACCAACCTCTGGGACCCTGGAAGAGGATGTCTTCTCTCGGGACTCTGGGCAAGCTTCTTGTGGCCATGGCTTCTTCAAGGAGGGAAGACTTTCTGTGTGGTAAAAAGTGAGCAAGAAATCATTCCTTGCAGAACAGCCAGACAGCTAGCCAACGCAGCAAACAGCATCATGCAGCCGCAAAAGTCGACGGTGTGTGAAAATGATCCAAGCCAGTTTTGCTGGCCCAGCTGATAGTCAGTTCACCAATCGACTAGCATCGTTCTCGCAAAGCACATGCACACACACACACACACCGAAGTTGCTGAGTCTTGGCTATGAATGAAGCTGACCCCTCTGCACCGCATAGCTCAAGTTCGCCTAAATCCGGACCATGCAAACTCAAGGGTGGTCAAAATCATAGGAATCCATTCGAATTGGGGATTCCGCATTCCTGTCCTCAGTCATTCGGTCACAGAGAAAAAGACACGCTTGTCCACATCCAAGGGGCAAACAGCGGCGACACAGCAAAGCCCAACGGCGGATGCGCCGAGGCCAATGAGGACCCAAACCCACCTTAGCGATGCGTCCAACAACTTCCCAAGAAAATAAAGGATCAGGGTGACAATTTGAACCCCCCTCCCCAGGACCCCCCCAGGACCTCCCCCCCCCTCCTCCCCCCCTCCCCCCCGCAACGATGCGTCAGTTTTGCTTTTTGATGGTACCGTTCTCGCCTTCCAACTTGCTGGTGCGATAGGTAGGGAATGAGGGACCAAAGATTTGGTTAGCTTCCTCTTGGCGCTGGTTGCCCATGTTTCGAGACACACATCAGGTTTACAGCTGGTTATGCAGTAGTATCAAAGGAGATCCAGTACAAAAACATGAACATGGGCCATCCCCATGCCTACATTGCCAATCCAAAAGGAGATTCCCCTTGGTACAGAACATGGGGGGAAGAAAGCCTCATGTCCCGCTGCTGCAAGAAAGAAACGTGGAAGCAACTCAACTCATCCAAGCTTCCACTTGAAGTCCGCGCCAGTGTTCTTGTTCAAAGCCTGCAGCTCCACAACGTAGAGGGTTGTCTCAAAACGAAGCCTCTAAAAAGGTTGGTTCAACCGTTCAACCCTTTGCTTTCCCTCTAAGTAAGAGACAAAAGAAACAATATCGGACAAGAACTGCTGCAAATCCCATCAAGGCTCAATACATGAACAATAGGCGTGCACACACACATATGATACATATACATTATTGTACGCATGTGTATATGTATACCTATGTATATATATATATAATATATACGTGCGCTTGTATTTTTGTGTACATATTTCTGGACTCTCAACCGCTAAGTGCCCCGCATTCACCACTTCCTGCGAGCCTGCTTTGATCTGTTCTTTTGCATCGTCCAGAATGCACCTGGAACTCTCGTCGAATGACCAGTGGAACCAGCGGTCTGTCACATGGGATGGCAGCCCAAGCAGTCTGTGTCTCACTATCAGCCTCTTGCAACTGGGTCAATGGAGGTCTGAAAGAGAATCAAACTCCGTCCTGCATGTTCCTATGCCCTTCGCCCCTGCCCCTCTCTCCCCTCTACGCAGGCAGGCGGTGTTAGGAAAGAGGGTGCCTGACGGGCCCGCTGACCACGCCATCGAAGGTCACATTCTTCACGGACGCGGAGCTCTGTAGCCAGCAGCCTGGCCCAACGGTGGCGTCATGTTGACAACTCCGGGGGGGGACTCAACCAATCATGGCCTTCCTGTTGGTTTCCCTCTAAACCCAGCCAAATGGGAACCCTCACAAAGCAGACCCCTTTTTGGGTGCCTTTTTGATGATACCTTGTGGGTGGATTGAAATTCAAACAGCATTCATTGCTGGGTCGGGCATATGGGAAGTTTTTGCTGGTTTGCGTTGGCGCAAACCTTCCAAGCAGGCATGTCAGCCTGACGTGACCCAGAAGACTCACATGAGACTCAGCGGCCGATCTGGAACACTCCTTGCAGCAAAGACGTCCGTCGGCTGGTTGAGAGCTGGCATGCCGCCAACATCCACCCCCCCCGCCCCGCCAAACTGCCAGACAGTCCCGCCTTTGGAGTCCGGATACCTGAGTTTGTGGCCCGACAATTGACTTTGTTTGGGCTCGCTTCAAAGAAGTCAAAAAGGGACCATGGCAAAAAACAATATTTGACACTCTTCTTCTTGGAGTTGGATTCCATTTGCAGAAGAATCGAAGAAAACAACGCAAAAAGGGACTCACACTTGTTTGGTTATTGCTACACTGGACTGGGCAGTTTGGGCATGCTGAAGATGTGTGGGGATCCTGGACTAAGGGAAACATCCGGTCCCCTTCAAAAAGCCACCCAACAAAAACCGGGGCTGGGCATCCAGGGAAACGCGTATTCGGGTGTGCCATAGCATTGGTGAACACCCCCCCCCCCCAAGACTCCCCTCTTCAAAAGAAAGGTGCTCCTTTTGGTTTCGCTTTAAAAGCAACCCCAAAAGGGTACCTTCAAAAAAGACGTAACATGAGTGAACCTCCCCCCAAAAAAACAAAGGTGTTCCTTTTGGTTTCCCTTAAAAAAAGGGTACCCTGAAAAAAGACGAAATATTGGTGACCCCGCTTTAAAAAAGGTGTTCCTTTTGGTTTCCATTTAAAAGGCAAACCCTGACGGGTACCCCTCAAAAAAAGACACACCCCTTTTCTGGTTTGTTTGATTTCGAATCCACCTTTGGTCGATTCGCCTAGTCCCGCCCAAGGCGCCAGGTGAAGAATGCACAGATCTCCGTCCGCTTGCAGTCTTCCTGCGAAGGCTCACATGGAAGGACCAAACCAAAAGGTTGGGGTTCAACTGGACGGGTTACATGTGTTAGACTGAGACCAACTGTTCGCCTTTAAAAAAAATCTCTTTGGGGCTATTAGGGAAACCAAGCAGAAAGTGAACTCATGGGGAGCTCCAGATCCTTCAAAACCTTTGAAGTTTTCCAACGCCGGAGAGGGCTCTCCTGGCAAGCCGTGGCGTCATCCGCGGTGACGTGCTGCGCCCTAAGTGAGCCGTGTTCCCGGCCTCAAACAACTTGCTATGTCTGGCTTGTGACATTATACTCTTAAACTACTCCAAACAGGAGACCCTTAAAGAAAACACACCCTTGGTCTGTACCCAAACCCATTCTAGCTATTTCCAACCAGGTGTATACAGGCTCACAACACTTGCTGGTTCTCAGTAGTCAATGAGGGAAAGCGCCCTATGATTCAATGATCCGTCCCCCGTTTGTTTCCTTGAAGGGGATCCACTCCCAAGACCTTTGATTCCCTGCCGATCAGCAAGACGGTTGCTCAAAGTGCTAGGGAATGCCAGCCACTCAGCATAGGCCTCGTCCCTCATTAGTGAAATATGTGGCAGTTTCTGGAGAGATGCTGCAACTCTACACACATGTTCATACCCATTGGCTTTTTGGTTAACCGCTGAAAGTTGGGTAATTATATAAAGCTGTTTTGTCTAACCCCTCCTGAGATTTTTGTCGATATGACCAAGCTGCTCGTTGGACGGATCATTGTATCCTCGCGCATGGCAGGCAGGCTGAAACCGCCCCTGTCATTCGGCCCCCAAAGCTGGCATTCCCTCTGTTTCCACATTCCTTCCTGATGTCTTTATGGTCTCGACTGTGGATGGACAAAATCCTGCACCTCTTTCAAACCATGGAAAATCCTTTTTTGGTATTAAAGGGGAATCATCATTCCAGGGTTTCTTAGGTGGTGCAGGATTTCGCCCATCCGCAGTACGTCCTCCCTGTTTAAGACTCTTGTGAGCTCTCTTCCCTCCCCGCCTTTCCCCCCGCTTGCTCGCCGAGCCCTCTTCAACCCGGACAACGTGCTATGCAACGTTCACATGGTACAAGAGATGTCTTTGCTGTCATTGGGCTTTAGGATTGGTCCGGCTCTTCAAGGAACCCCATTTGGCTCCCACCCTTCCGTTAGGATCAAGCAAGCCCCGCGCCTGTGCCAACGGAGGCGCATGATGGGTTCGCGCCGAAGACTTGAACCTGGCTATTCGAAGGCCCACCACGGGGGATAGGACCTCCCCCATTTCAAGATTCGAACGGCCATAAGCAAAAGTCATGAGGCATGGTCAAAACTCCGTATACGTGAACTCCGGTGGTTCCCTTGGTGGGACCATTACAACATCCTAATTGCCATGGGGCGCACGACCGTGCCAACCAGAATCAAGGAGCCCCTCACAGGGATATTGTTCAAAGGACACCAAGAAGATCCTAGCCATTTGGCGGCTTCTGCAGTTTAAACATTCCCACACCACCACATGTTACAAAGAAGGTTGAGCTCAAAGTAGCGAGACAAGCACTCTCAAGCCTACCAGCTGCCTTTGCGAGTCTTGTGCTGCGAAATACCTTGCATAGATTACTGGGTCTACGCAACAACTGACGTTGCACAATGTCGTTTCTCTCTTGAAGCCATGCTGGGAGTCCTCTATTGGCTTAAGTCCCCTGTAAAAACAAAAACAACCATATTTCCAGTAGTGATAGATTCCCTTTAAAACCAGCAGGGGAAATTTACAAATGTTCTTACCCAAATGGAAGGAGTCTACTGGGCACTTCCACGACTCCGCCGCTTTTCTACGAGGTTCTGCAATGCGCGCTGCTGCGCAGCAGTCAAAACCTCTGCCACCGGCTGAAGGCCCATGGCTGCTGCTTCGCCCGCTGCAGCGAAGGTGAGCACCTCGAGCGCGCCGAGGCAAGCTGGAAGGACGTGGGGCTATGGCACATTGAGCACCTGGAAGGAGATGGGAAAATGAGTGAGTCCCCCATTTTTGTAGGACAATTCGTCCCTCCGCTGTTCTTGCTGGAGCATTAAATAGGGATCCCCATAGCGCTATCTTCCGTGTGGCTTATGAACCGGGATCCCCCTAGAACCACCGCACATCAGTCCGATGGCGAGGCGCGTCCAAATGTGCGGCATCTGCCCGCAGCTGGTGGAAAAGGGCCACGGCCAATTGCCACTGCTCGGCCTCGCCACTCGCCACACTCGCCACACTCGCGGCCGGTGATTTGAGAGCCCTTGGAGCCCAAGGGTCTGAATCGGTTTGTCCCCGTAGCGACAAAAAAACCAATTTGCAGCACACCCGAGTCGTATCTTGACGTGAGCTCGGTTGCTTTCTGCTCCCCTGCTAAAAGTTTCACTTTTAGCGGTTCAATGGAAAGCCCAGTAGTTGGCAAACAGTTGAAGTCCGAACATCCCTCCGCAAAACGCACCAAAGTGAGGTACATCCACTATGGCTGTGAGGTACATCCACTGATGTGAGGTGTTACATCCACTCATATATGGCCAGAATCAGCAACGATCAATCCGTTCGCGCCTTCCGGAAGGCGCTGATCACGGCATTGCAAGTGATGCCATTCCTTGGCCATGGGTCGCCCCACCTGTACCCGCTGATTGATCGCCCCCTGGACTAAGCGACAACGTTGGCTCCCCAAAGGGGGTCTCGGATTTTGCACACCCTGCCAATGTTGGCCCCAAAACTCACCTGGTGGATTTGTGGGGCGTGCTTCTCCATCAAGTGATCCAGGTCCAGTAGACAGGGATGCTCACAACAAACTGGTAGTATAGTCTCCCCCCTCTTCCCGTAGTCTGTTGCTACTTGATTGTCACCTTGACCCCAAAATGGTCGGCTCTCCTCTGCTTCAATTTTTGAACTACGGACTGACAGACGCACATGCACACACACACACACCCAGACACACACAGACACGCACACACAGACAGACACAGACAAACAGACACAGATAGACAGACGGACAAACGGACAGACGGACAGAGGGACAAATGGACAGACGGACGGACGGACAAACGGACAGACAAACAGACAGAGAGACAGAGAGACAGACAGACAGAGAGACAGAGAGACAGAGAGACAGAGAGACAGAGAGACAGACACAAAGACAGAGAGAAAGAGAGACAGAGAGACAGAGAGGCAGGCAGGCAGGCAGGCAGGCAGGCGGGCGGGCAGGCGGCAGGCAGGCAGGCAGGCGGGCGGGCGGGCAGGCAGGCAGGCAGGCAGGCAAGCAGGCAAGGCACCCACACACACAACACAGACACAAACGCAGGCATAAACACAAACACAAGCATAAACACAAGCACAATCACATACCGAAACCCAAACCCAAACACAGACACAGACACAGACACACACACAGACACAGACACAAACACACACACACACACAGATCACACACACACACACCCAGGCACCCACCCACCCATCCGCCCGCACGCGCACCACACACGCCCACGCACACATGCTGAAGCTACATGTGCTTTAATTCAAGATGCATAGTATCAAGGCACCTCCTTTCGAACGACCCTTGTTTTTGGGCCCTCGCTTTAATCTTCAGCGCAGTATGGCCAGCGTTTTGATTTTGGAAATGCGCGTGAAATGCAGCCGCTGGCGACCTGCCCAGTCATACGAAAACACCAAGCCCCGCTTGCTTGATGTTAAGGGACACACCACACATGATTCAGTTGGAAACTCCACAAATGAAAGAAAGGGACGTGCCACAAGCAAGTTGACCATCCCTCCAACACAACTAGACTTAGACCCCCCCAAAAAAAGAAAACAACAACGAACACCTGAAAACCCCCGCACCCTCCCCCCCCCAAACAAAAAAACAGCCCTGCGAAAAGTCAACACGTTGCCAGCCGAAAGGACCATGAAGGAAACCCAAAGGGGCAACACAAAACAAGCCCAGGCGCCATCCCCAATCAGCCGCCCCCGAAACCCTTCCGGAACCTGTCCCAGAGCTGCCAAAGCCTATCTTGGCAAAGACCCAACGCTTGTTAGCTGGCAAAAACCAAAAAACAGGGTGATCTTTAAGTCTGGGAACAGAAAACAACTCGACTCAAGCGACTCAAGCGACTCAAGCGACTCGTCTACTCGTCGAGCCGTGTGTCGCTTCCAGGTGCAGGGAGTGAAGCTCGTCCAGCAGCGCTTGCACCTGCCGCCATTGCTCGCACTTGCCGCAGGCAGTGATCAGAGCCCCGTAGGTGATGATGCTGCCTGAGCCGTTCTCCAAATGGGGGTTGATCAATATGTCTGGCACCCGGCTTTGACCATGGGTAACTTTTCCCCGCTTACTGAAAAAAATATATATTTATATATTTATATCATCTTAGTCGTTTCCCCCAATGGTCATCTCATGTATCACGGACTTTTTGATCAGGGGGGGAGGTGCGGCTTCCTTTACACGGGCCGGATCAAAAGAAACCGAGCCAAGGATACTTTCAGACGAGTGAGTCCCTTTTAGGGGAACCCCCCATAATTCCAGCTTGGGAAACCCCCCTTTAAAACCACAAGGGCCTGGTTCCATGTTTTGGAAAACTGTTGGCCGTTGGACGAGGCAATCAAATAGAAACACCGATTTGAGTGGAGCTTCCTGAGTTCCCCAATTTAAAAGCAAACCCACATGTCCAACCTGACCTGCTTGTACGACTGGTTGGCAAGTAGAAGGTCTGGAACAAATGAACAATGCCCATGCCCTTGCATAAACGCATGAATCATTTAGCACACCGACCGATTAACACATACATTAATAACTTAGAAGCACCAAAGAACCAACCCCGGCGGGAAAAGAACACAAAACATCAGTGAAGCAACCTCGGAAGAGACCTCCGCCAAATGCACATGATATCGCCAGTTTGGGGCTCTCACTTGACGGCACGTCGAAGGGACATTGCCATGCCTATTGTCTCTGGAACTGGTTGCCCGGCATAAGAATCACGTCTTTGTGACTACATGTAGGATGAAGAACGTGCCAAGGTATGCTGGAAGATGAGATTGGTGCCTTGAACCTAGGTAGAGGAGTGTGGCACGCGCACCGTGCTCCCCTGCACATCGCCCGTCTGCGCTTCAATTGTCCGGGTGTTTGTGGCCCGAATGCTCGGCGCATCTTGCGACATCGTGCTGACCATGGAATATGTTGGCCGACCCTTGCATCGGTGACGACAAATAACGGAGAACGGACTGCATAACTATCCTCGTTTGCGGCGCTCACCCTGAGTACTAATCCTCACTTCCTCAGTGGATGGGCCAAACAAAGTCCAAACTCTGTGTTTGCCGATAGAAACAACTTCCTACATCGCCTAAAGTCCGGGAACTCAGGGAGTAGGAATGTAAGCTCATCCTTCATAGGTCTAAACCGGTCAGCTCCCCACTGACTTCACGTGGGAGTCTGTCTGGCAGGGTGATTGATCCCCTGCGAAATAGCCTTCGGCGACTTAATAGAAATATTGCTGACCAGCTCTTGCTAAAAGCTGACCACCCTCTTTTGAGGCGCCCTTCTGACAAGTTGAATCATAGGTGGCAGGATATTTACGAATAGCGATTGATATATTGCAGCAACGTTGGACGAGGACGCCTTGGGCCTTCGCAATGGCACGTGTCCACGTCCATCGTGGGAAAAAAGGCACTGAGTTGGAAAACAACACACTGGAGAATACCGAAGTGCGAACAATTCCGCCCGCTTGGCCGAACATATTGACCCAACTCCAATTTCAAGTCAGCCAAGGCCCTGTTTAGGTGCTAGCCCAGCCTGAGCGCACCTGCAAAAATGTTAGCTTGTGCTGCTTAAAAGAGAACGTGAAGGCAATCCAAATGGCGAAACAGAACTAAAAGGCAAGCCAAGCCAAGTCCGGCAATGTATGCCCCCCGCATTTTTTTCTCGCGACCCCCAAACACTCGATTCAACCAAACATGAAGAGGTGCTATTCTTCAGCAAACATCAAGTCACTCCTTGGTTGCTAGTCAGCAGGCGAAGCAAACACCATATGACTTTGATGCCGCGCGTGCCATCTGGCAAAGACGGCATCCCTTACTCCACCGAACTCCCAATTGCCAATTGACCTGTCATCATTTTGATTTATTTGCTTTTGTGAGTCATAGGCAAGTCAGAGACCTGCCCACACTCCCAACATAACAAACAAATCCTTCGGCCTGTTTGGGCCCGGAAAGAAAAACACAAAACACAACAAACAAACAAAAACAAACACAGAACGAACTCCCTGATGTTTTTCACCACCGGCCTGGCAGTGAGCTGGCCTTCATGCTCTTCAACAAGACCAAAGCGCGCTGCCACTGGAAACCTCACACCCGCTCAGCATCCCACCCAGAGACCAGTTTTGGAGTGAATCATAGTGTGAACCCACTCGAAAAATGGGAAAAGAACGGCAAACAGCACATTTGGTTGCCATGTTCGCATGAGGGTTCCTTAGCTTTCCGTTTTCCATGAGCATTTCCTGTACATGTTCGGGGAACTTGTTCCTCAGCAGTCCCCTTGACGGGATTTGCGTATGTGTCAAACTTGGGAGCCGGCGATTTCCTCCTCTTTTGCCTCTAACCTTCAAAGTAAACCAAGGTGACAAGGGTACCCTCGAAAAAGCGCAGACCCAATCCACAAACGGAGGTGTTTTACCCGCAACACGTATCATTTGTGAACAGGAACTTGCCACGTTAAAAAGGCCTGGCACCTCCGAATAAAGCCTGGGACCTGGAAGCAGGTCCTCTTGGTACTACTAAATGGACCAAGAGGAAAATCTACAAGGTGAAAACAGGTTTTGCTTTGGACAAAGCCACTTCCACTCTGTGCTTTCCTTGAAGCCAGGCTGTGTGAGGTTGTCAACTTGGGAAGTGCCAAGCCGAGGTAAACCAACACAACCAACCCTCCGTGTCCTTTTATTTTGCAAGTGGGAGCTGCCAAACTGAAAAAATCCCCCGTTTGCGGCGTTTCTGTAGCCAGGTCGCTGCGAGGTGTTGCACAGCCATAAGCGCACCACCCCATGCTCATTGCGTGCCCGCTTTTCTGACAAAGACCTCACTAGGGGACGAGCTCCTTGTACATGTGTTCAATAGGAAGAGGGGCCCCAGGGTTCACAGGGGACGCTTGGCGTTTTTCTTCTGACATTTGATACCAACCAGAAGACTGGAGAAACGGGCGTGGCCGAATCCCGATTCCAATTCCATGGATCCCGGAATCCCTCATTTCCCTCCCCCAGCCAACAGCTCCTGCCCCTCACAAAGCAGAAATAAGGACATTCCAAGGGGCCTTTTTTTCGACCCCCAGCTTGTTTTACCCCGAATTCGTGAGCTCATGTTGTGACGTCAAAATCGGGATTTGGATCCTCGAAATGGCTTTCCCTTTGGTCCCCTGACACCCAAGCTCAAGGCTCCAGCAAAAGCACATGGGTGTTCTCAAAGGAACCCCATGGCTTATGTTTTCTTAGGGTTTCCGTTTCAAAGCACCCTTTAAAAGGCTCACGGCTCACTTCCTAGCTTGGCATAAACAAGTTTGACCTCGCCGCCAACATGGTCTTGCTTCAAGTATAAAGTTCAGGAACTCAGGGGGTGAGTTCTATGTTTCCAGCTTTTAAAGGGCCCACCTCCCCCACCCCCCCACCCCCACCACCCCCCACCCCCCACCCCGCCCCACCCCCCCCCCCCCTCTCCGCCCTGACCGCCGAATGCCGCTGGCGCCGCCCTTCTCGCAGGCGCTGATGGCTGCATTGCAGGCCACCGCCTCGAAGCCCAGCGCCAGCTCCAGGCTCCTCGCTGCTATCGCTATTGCTGCGAGAGCTATCGGGGGAATGAGACACTTCCATCGAGAAAACCCCGGGAAAATTTTGAGAAAAAAATGTCCAGTGATAGATTCCCTCTAAAACCAGCAGGGAAAAAATAATAACTAATATATTCTGAAGCAACTGGATGGAGATGGAGTCTCAGGGCCCATGAGAAACCATCCAACTGATGGCTTCTATAAGGGACATGTTCATTCCCTCATGCCAACTGATGCCTTCCTTTATTCGGGAATCCCCATGTTCATGCCCTCATTCCCTACTGAGCACCAGCAAGTAAATCCGGGGTAAACAACTCAGCCGAAAGATATCGTTTTTGGGGGAAAAGGGTCATGTTTTTTCAGGCTGACCGGGGGGACAAACGTATCACAGCCCAGTTTTAGTGGGCAATCCCAAAAACAAACGATTTAGCGAAAGCCACACAGGTTGTTCACAAGGGCCTAAGACGAATGGGCAACGCTTGCCAGTCCCCCGACGCCAAATAGGCTCCTTAGATTCAAAGGTTTGTTAAGCTTTATCTGTTTTGAGTAAGATAACCTGGGCGAGCCTTTCTTGAATTTCGACCCTGTTTGGATTGGCTTCAAGCGAACCCATACTAAGGAAATCGGCAATGTTGAGTTCCCCTATTTTGAGACAGGCCCACTTGAGGTTTGCATCGTTGGAGTGACCCAGCATCCAACCAAAAGAGCTGGGTGAAACATAAGTCTGCAGCAAAAGGTCCAACCAAACCCTGCATTTCCCAGCATGTCAGAGACATACAAGCGATGACGGTAAAACGCGAAAAAGGAAACCCAAGGAGCAACCCGGTATTTGACAATGGATTCTTGGTTGGTTTACTTGCTTAAGGTTGCAACCCCCGTTTGTGAGGTCGCGGTAGTTTACCCATTTACCCGGATCAAACGTAGCAAGGTCAAAGACCGTTGCGGAAGTTGTGAATTACACTCTCGGACTATCCGGAAATGGCCCGAAATAGCTTAACAGAAACAGTTGGTGCAAAAGCCATGACGTCATCAAAGCATCACCTACATGTAAATTGTAAAACATCAAATCACAAACACATATGGTGCAAAATACTATATACATGTAAATTGTAAAACATCAAAGGAATCATAGGAATCCTCGCTCTAGACACGACATAAGAAGCGCCTCTGCGAAAACGCAAACCGCCAAGGTGAGTTTGCCGTTTGCCGCCAAGTCACTGCAGCAACCACAATGCCAATGGCCACCTGAGAATCAGCGACTCAGAATGAAACCAGTGGATGTTTACTAGGTCCTCCAGATTTGAGAGCTTAGAATAAGGGTACCCTATTTCTTTCTGTAGTCTTTTTTAGTAGGGGAACCCGCCCCCAAAAAAGGGGTGAGAAAGGGCACTACTGTGGGGGACCTAGTTTAGGGTCGATGGTGTAAACATTAAGTAAACCAACCAGAACCCATGCTTGAATTTGCAGGGCTTTCGAATTTCACTTCCCCACAAATGCAACATTTAGGGTGTCCACCACTCTAGGTCTTAGGTAACCAGCCATTTTACCTTTAGTTGAAATGTGGTTCCTTTGGTTGAAAGGTGGTTTCTTGGCTTACCTACCATGCTCGGAAAAGCTATCACTGGGTGGTGTGTCAGCGGTCTACTCGAAACCATGCAAATCATCACTTCAGAGATTTGCCCAAACGACACTTCGCCTACATGCACATCAGCCACGAGCAATGATCTGTAGGTGCCCCCAACTAACACTAGAATTTCGGGTGGGTAACCCGGTATGTAACCCCATGCCCGACCGGTAATTTGTTCCGACAGATGGGGCTATTGAATGCAACACACAGACACACACACACACATGCTGACAGACTCTTCTGCACCCGTTTTACAAATCAAGGGAGCAACAAGCACCCGTCACAAAAGGGGCACCACAAGACAACACCAGCCTTCCAACCCCAAGCTACCCCGGCAACCACAAGTGAGGGCAGCTGAAAACTTCAGCCGCGTGGACCTTTTGCCTCGCGATTGAACCCCACCTTCGCAGCTGCTCCGACAACGCCGAGCTGTCGATTCACTCGTGGAAAGGCTGGCGTGGGTGAAAGCTTTGCAAAGAAAGCCGTGAACGGCACGGGAGCCATTTGGACAAGGGGATGTGCGGAGTGTGGCTGTGCGACACCCCCTGCTCGCCGAAACAAAGTTGAGACAAGAACGGCAGGGGTCAGCACGCGCGCACACTCTTTGGCAAACCCAAACGAGAAAGAGGTTTCTTTAGTCTAAAACAGACCTACGAGACATGGATGCGAAATTTCATGCAGTATAAGTTGGGCAACCAACTGCGCGACTTGCGAGCAGAAGCGAGTTGCGCCTCACAGTAGACGCCAGTTGCTGGACAACGGCTAGTTCGCGATTGGTTCCCAACCATATTTTTGTTGGCCGTGGACATGAACAGAGCGCTAGAAAATGCTTGGTGGCATGCTACAGCTTTGTTTCAGCCAGCCCTCTCTAGGGCAATGGGCTTTGGTTTCATTCTGGCCATTGTGAGCTGCTTGTTTGACCATTTTGTTCAGCTCAGAGAAGCACGCAAATGCGGGCTACGGGGGGCTGCTTCTTGAGCGTGCTTGGAAGCTGAAATATGGATAAGCTGGTGCCGTGCACCTGCCGCCCAATCTTCCGCACATTTAGCCTTCAAGCGGGTTGCAGGGAGGATGTTGAAAACTCAATATACATCTAATCGGGGTGCTGGTTTGAGTCAACAGATGGCGGGTTCGGCGTCTGAAACTTGCGCCACAAATGCCGCAGCAAACATTTGCCACAAAACGGTAGTGAATGGAAGCGGGAGCGCGGGGTGGTTTGTCTCACAAGCCCAACCCCAGAGCGCGGTGCCGGCGTCCACTCAGGCATTCGTACAGCAAATCGAAGGGACTCGGATCGCACAAAGATACCGGCCTCGCAGTCGGATCGCTGCCGGATCGCGCCAGGAACCGGCTTCTCCTGGCAACCTGCTGACTGGGTTCTCTGAATGAGTGTAGGGGTTCCGCGAACCCACATGTTTTGGGGTGAGACAAGCCAAAGTTCTACAGGGCTCCCTATATTTCCCCTTGAGACATCACCCCCACCCAGGGACACTCACCTTTCATGGGCCAAAAAGGTGATGTTTGGAATCGCCAAAATGGGAAATATAGGGACCCCTGTTCTATGGAGTTCACATTGGGTGGGCGTAGTGCGCGTACCCCTGAGTGTCTGAAAAGTGAAGAGACATAATACGTTTATGCCACAACAGTTCTGCGGCCTTGGGCCTCGGCGCTCGCAACCGAGCTGGCGGGTTCCAAAGTGCGCGATGCGCACTGCTGCCAGCCGCAGTCTCAAGCAGCAAGTTGCCATACTCCGGGCGTTGTGTCCGAGCGCTGTGCGCTTTGCTCAAGCTAAGGAAACAAGACGACCCGTCCGATGTCACCGCAGGCCAAACAAGAACACTCTTGCCAGCAATCGAAATGGAAAGCTAGCCACTGAAGCAAATGCTAGACCAGGACTGCGTCATTAAATCGGAGTTCAACGCACGCCAGCCCTGAAAGCGTAAGGGCTGCAAATTTGCGGCGCCGTGTGCGCTGCGGGACCAGGCAGCCTGCCAGCGCTTGACAAGGCATTCAACTCAAAAGGTCTCAAGCTGCGACTTTTGACAAAGGGCAGAGAGCTGCGAAGTTGAGGGGTTGCCAATGCAGGACAATGCGGCCGACTCAAACCACTGGCGTTGCATCTGCAACGTCCAAGTTCTGGACAAAGCCCAGCTCGTGGGGTCCAACGGCGTGCTTTGCTCAACGGCACAACGACACCCATAATGCCATCCAACACTCCTCCAAGCCTGAATCACTGAACATACCCGCCATCAAGATATTGACATATGTTATGAAGCAAAACAGTGGACTCTCGTGCTTCCCGAACATCGTTTATTTGAGACCCTCGAATGTTCAGGGCTCCAAAATGCATGCCACCCCTGCTAAAAAAGATTAATTTCACCGCCTGTAGGTGTACTTATATGTACAGGGGACGTGGGGGCGGGAGCAATGCTCAAGGTTGTAAGGCTGCAAAACGCTGCTGCCAAGGGAGCCCTTTCAGAATTTGGGCCGCTTCATGGGCAGCAATACTGTGTCTGCCAACCAGCAGCAGTCTCGATCTGTAGCTTGCCACGAAGTGTTGGGCAAAGCCATGTTTTAAATGGGCAAAATGTATCTGTCAAGCCCTGGTATGGAAAGCTCCTTTGGTCACAGATTCGGGCGCGAGACAAAAAGATGGGTGCTGCGTTTTGGCCGCAAGCAACCCCTTGCCAGCCACCTTGATGTGAAGCTAGGCACTGACAGAACCGCTGGACCAAGGGCGCGTCACTTAATTGAGTTTCAATGCGTGCCAGCCGTGAAAGCAAGGGCTGGAAAGTTGCAGCACTGCCGATGCTGCAAAAAAGGTGCGGAGCTCAAGAGGGGTAGGCGCAGGCCTCAGCCTCAACGTGCAACTTCCTACACAGATGTGTGCGAAGCCAAGCCGGCGGGGTTCCGTGCTGCGCTCAAGTCACGGCACAACGACGCTCCCCATGCTGCCATCTAACACTCCTACTGCAAGCCTGAACATAGCCCATTCCAACTCATTTCTTCCGAGCTATCTTCAAACGCTAGTAGAATTCTGTGGTGGTTTGCCTTTTGTGTTTCCGGGTACTAGCACGGTGAATCAGTACCGGTAGCTTGTTGACTCTTCTGCACCCGTTTTACGGATCAAGCACCCTTCACACAAAGGGCAAAACAACACAACATCAGCTTTCCAACACCAAGCGACCCCGGCGACCACACGTGAGCGCAGCTGAAAACTTCAGCTGCATAGAACTGTTCCCTCACAAGTTGCTAGAACCCGCACCTTCGCAGCCGCTTGTGGCATCTCCGCCAACGCCGAGCTGTCGATTCACTCACGGAAACACCCCATGCAGCCCTGAGGAACAAGCGCAGAAAGGCTGCCGTGGGTGAAAGTTTTTCAAAGAAAGCCGTGAACGGCACGCAGGCCATTGGGACAAGGGGATCAATGTGCGGAGTGTAGCTGTGCAACACTGCCCTCTGGCCAAAACAAAGTTGAGACAACAACGGCGGTGCTCAGCACGCGCGCACACCCTTTGGCAAACCCAAACGAGAAAAGAGGCTTCTCTAAACGAGTTGCGCGACATGGAGCCGACATTCCATTCAGTAGTTCAGGACATCATGGAATCGAGCTTCGACGCTTGCATCGAGCCCTGAAAGTGTAACGGCTGCAACTTCGCGGCGCTGCGCGCGCAGGACAAAGCAGCCTGCCAGCGCGCCTGCCACAAAGTTCTGGGAGCCAAGCTACCTGCATGTGAAGCTAACCGTTGTCGCAAATCCTAGACCAAGACTGCATCCTTGAATTGAATCCAAAAGCGCCAGCGTTGACAGCGTAGTGGCTGGAAAAGTGCAGCACGGGCCTTGCTGCAGAAAAGGTGTACAGCTCAAAAGGGGTAAGTGCATGCGCAGGCCAGCAGCACTGCCTCTACCAACCGCAGCAGCCTCAAGCAACAACTTCCTACAAGCTTCTGCGCAAAGCCACGCTCGAGTGGTCCAACGGCTCCGTGCTGCGATCAAGTCACGGCAAAACAACGCTTCCGATGATGCCATCTAACACTCCTGTAAGCCTGAATATAGCCTGCTCCAATCAGCCTCTTCTGAGCTGCCTGCATGTGGAGCGATGCATTGCCGCAAATCCTAGACCAAGACTGCGTCCTTGAGTCAAAGCCAAAAGAACCTTGACAGCATAGTGGCTGGAAAGTTGCAGTGCGGCCGATGCTGCATAAACGGTGTACAGCTCAGAAGGTGTAAGCGCCTGCGCAGGCCAGCAGTACTGTAGTTGCTAGCCGCAGCCGCCTCAAGCTGCAACTTCCCGCAAAGTTCTGGCCAAAGCCAAGCTGGTGGGGTCCAACGGCTCCCTGCTTTGCTCAAGTCAAGGCACAACAGCGCACCCCCCATGATGCCGTCTAACACGCCTCCTGCAGGCCTGAATCACTGAACACACCCGCTGTCAAAATATTAAGACATTGTATGAAGCAAGACACTGTACCCTCGTGCGCTCCGAACATCTTTTATTTGAGACCCTACAATGTTCAGGTCTAGCATGCATGCCACCCGCGCTAAAACAGATTCATTACACCGCGTGCAGGTTTTACTTATACACAAGTTGGGGCGGGCGGCTCTGGCACCTGCTCAAGGT